CTGAGTCAGTGGCAACTTCTGCTTATAGTCATGTCATAATTACTGTCTCCTTTCACTTTCAAAAACATCTAAACTTGTATATGTATTTATCCATTCGAGAGGTAAAAGGAGGAGAAGGAATAAAGCATAGTGCCCTAGTTTCCAGCAGAAACCACTGTATAGATAAGCCTGTCATTCAGTGAGAGGGAGGAACTGAAGCATTGGTGAGAAAAGTTTCTGATTCAGGTTTGGTGTGTTTAGGTGACTGTCACATGGGCAAGTGAAGACATAAACATTCGATGACTACATGGCTTAAAGAGTTCAAACAGGGTTAGAGATGTATCAACTTGATAGCAATGAGCGAAGATGATAACTGAAGTTACCAGAAGTGAACAAGATCACCAAGCCAGAAAGTATGAAAATCATTGCCAAGAGCCCAAAGCCACTGCAGAACTCAAAGGGGCACCTACTTTTAAGGGTTGGGCATAGAGGAGAAGGAAACAAAGATCTGAAAAGATATGCCAGCATCATAAGAAAATAAGGAGATTCCTAAGTAGAGGGAGCCACAGAAAAAGAGGGGCAGTGCGGGAAAAGTCAAATGCTTCTAAAGGATGCATAAAATTAGGAGACTGAGCCCATTGAAGCAAATAATTAGTAAGCCCTGTTGATGGTGGTTTGTTGCTGTTAGGAAGTAGGTAAGTGGGTGCCTGATTCGGGAGTGTAATAAATGACCGAGATGTGAATGTGAAGAATTACACACTGAGAAAGGAAGCACCAGGTGGAACCAGGAGCACTGGACGGATTTGAGTAACAGTGTCTCTGAAGATACTGTGAGTTCAACTGTTTAGAGGCTTTCCTCTGTAATGGCCATCAAGAAAGTAGGAGATTTTGTTGGTTTGATTGTAGCTGTTAGTTTTAAATTTTGAGTTCAATTATTTGTTTAAGAAATAGGAGCAAGAATATGAGTTGTAAAGTTACTTTAGCTATGAATTTATGAATTGCATCCATGAATTTGCTAAGTAAAAATGAATCTCTGCCATCTTATTTTTTTCACACTTTGTGCATATACACAAAGAACTGTGCTGCTCTTGGCTTAAGAATATGAAGGAATACTCCAAATGTTCACTGGCAGATTTAAAAAGTAAAGATTTGCTACAGCCCACAAGAGCATTGTGAAGTCTTATAAAATATCATAGGCTATCCTGACGCAGGAAAGAGTGGCTATAAGAAATTAATAACAAATGCTGGAGGGTCTGTGGAAGAAGGAACCTTTCTCCATCATTGGTGGTGTAGACTGGTGCAACCACTGTGGAAATCAACAACCAGAATTGGAGGTCTTGCTTAACCCAGCTATTCCCCTTTTGGGTATCTTCCCAGAAGAATGAAAAACATTGTACCACAGTGATATCAGTGCGCCAATGTTTATCACAGTGCAACTTGTAATAGCTAAATCTTGGCAACAACCAAAATGTCCATCACCTGAGGAGTGGATAAAAAGATGTGGTGTTTCTATGCAATGGAACACTACTCAGGCATAAAGAAGGACAAACTTGAGACTTTTATAGGTAAATGGATTCAATTTGAGACCATATTCATAAGTGAAATAAATCAAATTCGCATGTGTAAACTTCATATTATCTCCCTAGTGTGAGACACTGGAAGAAAATATATACACAATAATTAAAATAGTTACACTACTAATTTCTCTGAGTTCATTGAAAAGAAAGCTATGTGCTAATATTTTCTGGAAAATTAAATGCAGATGCCTTGCCCTCTGAGTAACTAATTTGAATATAAAAATACACAATGCACTAACTATTGTTACCCTCTAATTATCATGTTTTGAAATTTTGTTTTATTTTTTCTCTTTAAAAAAATACATATAACAATCTAAATGTGACCAAATATCTTTAGACAGTTATTCCATTATATCATATCTCATAGAATTAAAATATTATATTTAAAATCTTGACCTCATCAAACAAGAAGTGATTTTCAAGCAAATTGCCAAAAGCATTTAATTCTGTTACTCATGTTACATAAGAAAATCACAAAGTCATTGCTACTATGACTCTCTTAGACAAAAGTATAGCAAAGACAAGCTGAGAATGGGCTTTAATGAATGGATATTGAAGATTTGTTCACAGACTGAAGTTTCTTCTGGGGATTTCTACAGCAAACATTCTGTTTCCGTTCCCATTAGAAGTATCCGTGTTAAACCCATCTAATATAGAAATTACAAGCAATAAATGAATTTAGATTTTATAACCAACTTTGGAATGTGTTCTGCCTGTTTTCAGTGCTTCTACTATATTACATATAGATATGTGTGTATTCTAAAGCTAACCTCTAGATGGAAGAAATAGCCAACGTATTTGCTCCACATGTTGGTGACTGCGAACCTTAGGTAGCTGGAAGCGTGGTGAACACTGAGTGACCTTTGTTCATGATGTTTGAAATTCCCTGCAGCCTCTGTGCTTGAGAAGTATTGTCATAAAGGAAAACTCCTTTGCTTACTGGAAAGCTCAGGAGAAACATACTCCAAAGGCTTGCTTTTTCTGCTTGTGGTTGTGTAGTCAACAATTACTGGTCCGTAGGAAAGTTTGATGGTAAGCAATGGAAATAAAACTAAGAAGAAATATAGTGAGTTGTATTATACAGTTGTGGTCTCTCTAACAGGTTTTTTTCAAACTGTATCTTTCTCACTAGCTTTTCTTTAAATAACCATTTTATAAAACAGTATTAGAATAAATTATTCTTTTAAATACTCATGTGGAAAAAAAAATAATAATAACTCACTCAGTCCCCTTTGGACTGATATTGTAGCTGGTAGGGAAACCAGAGCAGACTTTTAGATGTACAGAGGTGGGGTTTGGCAGGAAAGAAGTCTAAAGAAAGCTGGATGAAAAACTATAACTTTTTAAAGAGGACATGCACATGGTCCATTGGAAGATAAGAGCTTAGACCTGAAGCCTGGCTTGTGTATCTGCTCTATCCAGATGCAAAGGGCTGTGGCAGACACTTTAAGGCATTGTCCCCAAATGGACCTAATCTTAAAACCCTGTGGACTCCTGTCACACACATTTTTGACAGTAGGGGCCACAGATCTGGAAACTGTGTTAAAATACTGATGGCATCTTAGATTTTGTCTCTGTCCTTTAACAATTTATAATCTGTCCTTAATTCTCTAAGCCTTGAAGACTTTTGTATCTATAAATTACAGATAATAATACTTTTTTCTTAGCCCGCGTTCAAGGTAAATGTAGTGAAGGGGAACTGTTCAGAAAGTTCCTGGAGAGATTTTGTATTTCTAATTTTTTTCTAACTTGTGAAACTTTTAATTTTAATTGTACACTCTATGGGGGAGGCTGTGTAAAGGTGGGAGAGAGACAGAGAGAGAGAGAGAGAGAAAGAGAGAGACAGAGAGAGAGAAGAGAGAAAACTTTTTCAACTGCATTATCTGGGATGTATTTACTGAGTAAAAGTGAAAGATCCCTGGATGTTTCCGTTTTGCTGTTCCTTCTTTCCTTCTGCTAAGCCTGCATTCATCCTAAATCTTGCATGTGGAATTTCCTGCCCCTCTGCCCAGGAGCTGGACTAAGCATTTAATGAACTCAGTGTACCCCAGCCAAGTGTAACCGACACTGTCTTAAAGCATGGAGCACAGGCTTTGCACTGAGTCAGTCAGAACAATCCAATAAAAAGACAGATCTCTAAGTCTGAACCCATCTCTTTCCAATGTATAATTTGCTAAACATGTTGCATTCTGACTTACAGAACGTTAAAGAAAGGTCATTCACCATTCTCTTTGATACAGATTTTTTGTTTTATTTTTAATTCTCTTTATTTTTTTTTATTTAAAGAGAGAAGAAAAAAAAAAGAAAGGACATAAAAAAACAATGCAGTAAAAGGGTACAAATAATACAGTATTTCTAGAAAAATATATACACAGTACAAAATCACCAGTTAACAGCTACACATTATCTTCCCAGAAACAGTTGTCCATATCACTAAATTAAAGCATATAAAGTGAACATTCATACAGTGAAATTGGAGACAGTTCCGTTCAATGATCCAACAAAAGCTCAGTTATATGGTTTTCCATCCTAAACTCTCGAACATATCTGCGGTTATATCCCTTAGTCCACCTTACTTTCCTCTCTTTTTTACAGTAACAATTAGACTTTTTGGGTTTTATTACTCTCATGGTTCTTATTACTTTTTTGAAGAGAATAAAAGCAAATGTGACTAAGCAAATCAGAGTCAGTTAGAACAGAAGGGTGGGCATAGCATGTGATGCAAAAATAGAATACCAGGTGATCAAAAGTAGTTACCATTGTGCCTCTTGCTATTTTTAAATTGAGTTGTCTATATCATCAGGTATAATAGAATTGATCAAAACAATACGGAACAAAACCAACAAAATCTACACTGAGGACCTTACAGGACTTCAAAAAAAAAAAAAAAAGGATGATAGTCAATCCATATTGGGCATCATAGTATATCTTATTGCCTTCAAAGTGATTGTCTATACCCTCAAACTTGATACTATCAAACAAAATAGAATATATAATAATCAGACAGAACAAGATGGGGAGAGCAATACTGGGGTTCAAGTCAGGTTAATAGGACAACAAAAAGTTACTATAATATGTCCTGTTATTCTTTAATTTAGTTTTCCCTTAAGTAAAAAAATGAGAGAAAATAGATTAATTTAAAAATAGGGGAAGATGAGATAAAAGAGGACATTGTAATAGAACAACGCAGGGCAGAACCGAGCAATTCAAGCATCATTGTGTTTTACTTCTCTTTAATACAAAACACTCCAGTCTAAAAGATCTTCCCTTAGTTTGACCTTGAATTTCTCACATTGGAGCTTAGCATGTTTCTGTATTTATATTTTTAAATTATTTTTGTTCAGTACAAGAATGTATCTTGTTATAGCAACTTTTAGCTAGGCATGGTTTTCTCTTCTGTAATAATTAGCTACTTTCAGTAATTTATTTTCCTGATTCATTTAGCAGCAGCAACAGAAGAACCAGAAGTGATCCCAGATCCAGCTAAGCAGACAGACAGAGTGGTGAAAATAGCAGGAATTAGTGCTGGAATTCTGGTTTTCATCCTCCTCCTCCTCGTCGTCATATTAATTGTAAAAAAGAGGTAAGATCAGAGATCCTCCTTTACCACGTTCTTACACTGATGGCACCAGTTTTAAGGGACCTTTCTCCCTCAATTTCTTTTAAATTAGAACAAACAAGGAAAATAATTTAATTTTAACAAGGATAACTGGTACCTGGTCTATTACTCATGCTTTTTAAATAATTTCTTCTGTGGTTATTTGCAATTAAGTTTTGGGTCTAAGCGTATTCTTTTTGTTAAGTTAATCTTGAAATTAATGTGAAAATGTAAATATTGGAAAGGAGGAGGTACTTGAGACATTAATTTATCTGGTATTTCGTGTGTTATTAAGAACGACAAAACATGGATATTTTTGTGATGCTTAGGCTGTATTCTCTGAATTATTTTCTATTCTTATGCTATATTTTTCTCCATCTTGGCTGTAAATGAGATATAAGAAAAATAGATACATTGTTAAATTACTTTTTATATTAAATATTCACTGACAAATTTTCAAATGAGTAAAATTTTTATTGAACATTATCTTTTCTATTATATCAATCAATATCGCCATCTTCTGGAATTACATGGAGATATTAAGACTTATTCAAAGTTAAACTGCTGTCTTCTGCAGATTAATTTATATTCCTGAAGATAAACATTCAAAAGTATATAATTTTGAGCTTTGTGATTAAGCTTTTGATCACAGTATAAAGTTTTATCTGTAAATCATTGTCTTAGGAACTAATACAGTACTCCAATCTGTCCAGTCATGTGTGTTGGATAGTACTACAATTTAGAGGAACTTTTCAGTGGTCTTTACATGATTACACATTCCAGCAGCTTTCTGTAGAGACGTGGTTCTACTTCATGAATTCTACAGTGTACTAAATAATGTCGCTTATTACATTAATACGATACTATTACTTATTTTATATTTGAAATAAAGCATTAACATGATAGATAAACTCATACTACATGTTTTGACTATTCCATGAGAGTTTATTTTAATATATTGCCTCTTTACAATTATCCCCTGGAGATATATATGTTGGAGAAGACACATCTGCTTTAGAAACATTAGGTATGCATTATAGTGTTTTGTGTTAAATTAGCTAATACGTGCTTTCCCCAAACAGTGCTTCCCCGTTTTGCTGTTGTCTACCTCTGTGATTGGGAAATACATTGTATGTGAGGCAAGATTGGAGGTTTTTAGAAGCATTTTCTAATAAGGACTAATGAAGTCAGAGATTATAACATTCAAATTTTATGACTGTTTAGTTTATATATTTGAAGAGCAAAATAAACAGTTAAGTCAACTAAATTTAGCTTCGCTATCAAAATTATCCTGATCACTTTAGATGGATCTGAGCGTGGAAGTACATATTTTCTGATTATGACTTCACTCAGAATTAAATCAACAAAGTTTTATTTGTCACTTATTTGAAACACTTACTCACTTTTGATAATTTCTCCATATCCATGGCTCCCTGATTTAGAACAAAAAAAACTTGTGAAAGATGAACTTCTAAAGAATGCCACAATAATCACAGAGCAAGATTTTAGAGAAATAAATCCTCTAGTAGATCTCTAAAACCGTGTAATATAACAGATTCTTTTTTGGGTTCTTATTTTAAATGATTTGATGAAGCAGGCCCTGGTTAAAATATTTAAATTTTCATGATTATGCATTCATTGACAGAAAGTATGAAAGGATTTAGTGTCTTTTCCTCACCAGCAACTTTATGACTAGGAAAAGTTGAAATTTTATTGATGGAAAGTTTCTTTGCATAAATATGTTAAAATTACCTAAACTGCTAATTTAACTGAGCAACTTTATAATGACTTTTATCCATACATAGTGTGTATCACACATGAATCAAGTATGACATAAACCCAGATGCTTGTTGTACATATAACGTTAGTAGTATTGCATATTACCTATTTTAACTTAAAAATTATTAGATATAGATGTTTCACTTTTAATGATATATTTATAACAAAATAATGGAGAAGTGAAATATTTTAGTCTCTTATCTACATTTTATGAGAAGTTTTTAATTTCTCAAAACTTTATTCCTCCCTGGGAATGACATATATAGCCATATTTCTCGTGTTGAAAAAGTTTTGTGTGTTTTGGTTGTTTTCTAAAGGAGTGGTCTGGGACTCAGCTGCGTATCATTTAACAGCTGAGGGTATACATAAACAAAGTTTTAGGCTAATAAAAGGGATATTGCATCTTTCAGAACACGATGTCATTTTTAATTTAATTACTGTGATTTCCAAATGTATGCCATGTTTCCATCGACTGCCTATTATATTTTAAATGCACAGCATGAGCACATTAATAATTCCAAACATAAATTTCAAATTGTGTTTCAGTACAGTAAATGTTTGTGTTTTGTGCACATGCATCTACTGTAGAAATTTCTTTGTGTATATATAGTATATGGTACATATGTGTATATTCATATAATGTAACTATATATATACCTTTGTACCATTAGATATGACTTGCTTATATAAATTTAGGTGTTATTCTGTGAATACTTTATTTGAACATGATAGATCTTTATGTTTAATATCTAAAAATGCAATCTATTTAGTATACAAGTTCTGTACACAGCTGTTCCATCTGTCATGACATTAGATGGTAATGGATGGTACTATGCTTAACTGCATGTTGGATATACACAATCCATTTAATTTCTTGATTTTTTTGGCAATAAAAGAAATGTGAGCATGTTATTTTTTTCCAAATTATGTATTTCAAATTTTATTTTTCTATTGCATATCTGTCTGTTTAATTGCATGGCAAAGAAGAATCTAACAATGCATGAGCAAATTAAAATGCAGAGCAAAGAACATGACTTTTATTTTATTTCGTTTTATTTTTAACGCACATTTTTCTGCTTTATTGAATGTGACGGAGTCACGCTTTTCATTCACCATTGCTTCTCTTTTTCCACTGTCTGTGATTTGCTTGCCAGGAGGAGCTACTATTCTTACTCCTACTACCTGTAAGTAGAAAGCGGGTGATGTACGGCTTTGCGTGTGTGGAAGGTGCAGTATCCCTTTTCAAAAAACAAAGAAATAATGTTGGTAATTTTGGTGATATTTCAAAACATGTTTTTCTGGACTCTAAAATGATCAACTATTACCTATTTTGTTTATCTTTTTTAAAAGGGATATTGTATTTCTGTATGTTCAGCTACTTTTAATTTTTATTTATAGTTTTCCATAAATAGCTTTAGTCTATAGCAAAAATACCTTTATTTACTTAATGCAAATCTATACCTTATTTAGCAATAGGATACTTCATTCATTTCATAGAGAAAGCTGTCATAACTCCCATATCCCTATCATTATGTAATATCATAATACTTGCAAACATAAGCCCAGTGTTATAATCACAGAACAGTCAAAATGATTTCACAGGTTGCAAACCTAGTCAGGTCTGCATGTGATAACATCTGTCCACTTTTCTAGGAATCCAGGACAGTTCTAACTTCTGAACTCCTTCTGTCTGGCCATTAAATGATTAAAATCACAATGTTGCAGGGGCAAAAAAAAAAAAAAAAAAAAAAAAAAAAATACAGTTCTCCTAAAATAAAATAGCTGAGTCAAATTCTTTTAAGACAAATAATAATGCAGCAAAATAAATAGCCAAGAATTTATAAAACCAAGGCTGAAAATCTTCTTGTTGATTGACGGAGGGATAAAAGGTTGATAGTTCATATTTCTCTTTCTCTTCTGCATCTGTGACATTCTAGACTTAGGTGTGGAAAGCTCATTTTCTTAAGGATAGAGACAGTCATCCATTCTATTTTGTGAGTCATTTTTAGTTTATCACTGTAGGTGCCAGAGTGCTTATTCACCCAATCCAGAGAAATGCTATGACAGTTTTCTCAGCTTAAGGAGTAAATACGATTGGAGCATATATCCCACAGCATTTATATCACTTGGAAAATTTAAGCTAGCTTAACAACAAAATTTTATGAATCAATCACTGTAACACAACTCTGCCAACATTTTAAATATTATAAGCATTTGGCCTCCTAAAATCTGCTAAAACAAGCAGGTGTAAAGGAACAGTGGTTTTAGCTTACTGTGATGAATCATAATATGGTTGTTAAATCATATTTGATGAAGCAAAAGGTAATTAACTGTACCATTTCGTACAATGATGGAGTACTGTTCCCCTTTATGGCTCACCCAACCATCCACCTGCACAAGTTTGCGCTGTTGCCTTCCTTGATAATGAAAGTCGTTTGTGCCTTTGTCAAACTGGAGCACTTGCACAATGAATTGCTTCACTGTCCTGAAGTGCACATTACAAAAGCTGGCTCCTCATGGGAAAACAAAGCATGAGACATGCTGGAATCAGCAAATACTTAAGGATGTGAATGTCAGTAAGCCTACCCCTCACTATCTGCGAAATTAGAGTGGGATTCCCTTTTTTGGTGTCAGGTTAATATTTCTGTGTTCCAGACAACGCAGCAGGTCATACTAATGTTATGGTGATACCTAGCTACCCTGGCATTTTAAATCCTAACAAGAAAAATGTCACAGAGCTATGTTTTTAAGGGCTGATTAAACATACCTTCTGGCACTGATCTGAATTAGGGACTTTTTTTTTTAAGTAAAAATAGACGTTAACTAAAGCAGAAATGAAAAACATATGATCTTTGAGCTAATGTTCATGGCATTGTTATAGGACCTGTCAGTCGTTAATGAAAGCACTTACCACTGATGTCAAGTCTTCTTTGTTTTGTAATAACTTAATTGAAAGCACACCTCACAGGGCGATTGTGTAGATGAAGATGTAAGAACCCAGCCTGTGATATGCGGCTGACAGGCATCCATAAAGCTTATATTTGCACATAGTTTGGCTATTATTCTAAATCTGTGAATCTGAAGTCAGAGTACTTCACCGGATGAAAACTTTCTTCATGCATTTGAAAAATTCATTACTTCTTCATTCTGCCCAATCATGAAGCAAATATCAATTATACATATTTGAAAGTAAAATAAAAGCCATTATTTCTATTTGCTATTTCCTATATGGCTATCTTAAAAACTTTTGCATTATTTTTAGTCTAAATTTCAGGGTGTGCTGTTATAATCCTACTCATTCTCTCACGTTATGTTTTGAGAAATAAATTGGGTCTTCTTGCCCAAGAAACAAAGTTACTTCTGAAGCATATTTCTAGTTTTCAAAGTTTGCAAATGACACCAAGTTGGTGCGCTCTTCTTCTCCCTCTCTAATCTATTGTGACCAGCCTTTAATAATTAAACTATGTAGTGTTTTTAATATAAGGCACTTTATACGTGGCTGGAAAGGCACTGTTAGCATCAGCATATAGAGTAAGAGCTTAGGCCTTGGAACCAGGTGATTCTTCATTGCTTATTAGGTAACAACATTGGGCGGCTTATTTAACTCCTCTAATCTGCAATAAACGCATGTATACGATTAGAACCATTATGCTGCTTTCAGTGGATTGATCTGGGAATTAATTGAATTAACAAATGAAAAGTGCCCAGCATATAACAGGCCTAATTTATCTATTCAACAAGTGTTTGCTGAGTTCCTGCAATATGTAAGTGTGCTTCAGTAGCCCAGGATGTATGCATATGGGGGGTGTCTGTCTTCATGCTTCATGCAGTGGGGAAAACAGCTGAAAAGGCACTTGTAATGACACAAGTGGTTACAGGAGGAAAACATGGTACTGTAAAGCATCTTTCGGCTGAAACAGAACAGATGAGTGTTAGCCAAACATTGCATGATAAAGAATGTTGAAGATCGAAAAATAAATACAGTATGATGGCCTAGAAGAAAATAATAGAAGTCTGTAGGCTCAATATGACTTAATGATATTTAGTAAGTCCATACGCTCCTTCAAAAAATGAAACCACCTTTAAAAAATTAAGAAAGTTAGTATAAACATTTAGAATTGTTTCAGCTTTAAAAAGAAATTAACTCTGAATTTTAAACACTCAGATTTAATGTAGGTTACTCCTAAGCTGCTTGGCAGTTTTTCATGGTCTTAAACATCTAGACTAGAACAAACAGTTTGTGGCCAAAAGACCAAATGCTGTCAATAAATGAGGATGGTGTTGGTGATGGGGTAGAGGTAGTCATAGTACTATGTAGTGGTGGTGGTTATAACTTTGTCCGTGTGTGCTTAAATATGACTGATATTCTGGTGGTGATTATTTCTTTCAAGTGCAGGTTCACATCTATTTTCAAGTGTTAGTCTATGACTGTCTTATTCGGGTGCCCGATCTGTTATGTTAATGTGTTGTGCATGTTGAGTATGCCCCATGAGGACAAGTAGTACCATTCCCACAGGAAAGAAAACACTGGGACAATTCTCAAGTTGCTAGAGTGATTTTTTAACTGCAAAGCCTTTGGACGTAAATCTACACAATGAAACTTTGTAGTGTTTGAATGCATTTATTCAAGTACAGATAGTAATGAGGAACAGAAGAGAGTATCTTTAAGATCTAATCTAAGAATGATGAACAAGTAAAGAACATTTCCAAGACAATGTAACTACTCTCATGAACTTACTCATATAATTTGCCTACTACAGAAGTTTACAATGTTTTTATATCATTAAAAAAATTGTCTGGTTAATATGATTTAGATATAGTTTTTTACTTGCCTGGTCCCCATGAAACAGTCACATACAACCAAAATGTAATTACATTTTTGATTTGTAAGATAAAGGTATCATTATTTGAGTAACTCAGAAATGTGAACTCCACTCACTTCTAAATCCTCTCGGTCAGGTGCCCTGTGGTGTTTGTAAGGCACTTCAGTTGGGAACACTTTGCCACAGGGTTCAAATCACTAGTTTACAGGGATAGGCTGTTGGTGATCATTTAAGTTAGAAGTTTGCATGGTGTTTTTCACATTTTTCTCAAAACTTTTCTTACACATATATACTTTAATCCCCTGTATCTATGTGTAATTGAATTACATATTACTGTGGTCAGTTTTAAGATTTAAGGCTAGGGTTTTATTAACCTGCTAAGTGTTTTGTTAAAGATGTTAATGCTGTCCATATTACATTTTTTACTTAGCAACTTGAGTTTTTGGTTTTTGTTTATTTTTCATTTGCACTACTAAGGATTAAACCCATGGCCTTCGCATTGAAATATGACCCGGACTTACTTTCTTTCTTTCTTTCTCTCTCTTTCTTTCTTTCTTTCTTTCTTTCTTTCTTTCTTTCTTTCTTTGTCTTATTTTCTTTCTTTCTTTTTCTTCTCTCTTTTGCCTCTTCTTCTTCTTCCTTCTGCCTCTTTCTTCTGTCTTCTTCCTCCTTCTCCTCCTCCTCATGCTCCTTCTCCTCCTCCGTTTTGAGATAACTTCTCACTAAGTTCTCCAGACTGGGCTGAAAGGTGATCCTCCTGCCTAAATTCTCTGAGTGCTGTGATTGTGCCACCATAGCTGGCTAGCACAGGACTTTCCCTGGTCTCTTTTCATTGGATGGCTATCATAAGACAAATTTAGGTCATGTTAATTTCAAGAAGAACTTTCAAAAGAAGATCAAAAGAACTGATCACCTAGCAGAGTGATTAAAATGGAACTTTAATTTAAATCTTTCTTGGACTACTCAATTTAGGAAGTGCTTTTTTATACTTTCGATAAAGTATGCTTGTATTCTTATGAGATTTATTTTAACAGAATGAAATAGAGAAAACAATGAGAGGTTTGTGTCCACAGCTGGGATATTGAAATACCTGAAAACTGCAGTAGTTTTGCAGTAACCAACCAGCATAATTGTTAGTGTCGACTTAATTCCCGATATTACAGCCAGTTCTCAGGTTTAATGAGCCACACCTGTAAGCTTGTCCTCGGGCACACTCGAACTACTTATTACTGGTGTCAACTGTGGTTCAAGCTTCAGACTCACAGTTCCCTCTCTCCTTTGCCTTGCAGTAAACTTGCTAAGAAGCGCAAAGACGCCATGGGGAACGCTCGGCAGGAGATGACTCACATGGTGAATGCCATGGACCGAAGTTACGCGGATCAGAGCACGCTACATGCAGAGGACCCTCTGTCCATCACTTTCATGGACCAACATAACTTCAGTCCAAGATGTAAGTTCTCCCATCAAATTTTAGTATGTTGTCTTGGAAGCTCTATAAATTCATTCATACATTCTTCAGATTAACTGAATCACAGAGTGAGCAGGAGAAAGGGAAGAAGCAGCTAGATACAGAAGAAGGAAGTGATATGGAATTTATAAGAAGGCCTGCATTGAGGCTGGATAGTGGATTTCATTTAACTTCAAACTGTATCAATGTTACTATTAAAATATAAGAAATACTATAAAAATACATCACTCAGACCACATTAAGTGCTTTAAGTTAAAATATATGATTGCCTACATAAAAAAAATTTGTGTCAGAATTTACAATTATTTTGCCATTTACAACCTTCTTTGTGTAAGATCAAGTTTCTTTTGAGATAAAAAAGATAAGTCCTAGGAAATTTCAATACTAAAAGATTAACTAAGGGAAAGATTAGTCTAAATACTCTATAAAGTTGCTAGTGTGAAATCTGTACTATCCATCTGTCTGTCTTACAAAATTATTAATGCTGATTCATGCAGGGAACACTTTAAAAATATTTCAAAATATGAAGTGTTGTTTGCAGATGATTTGAATAATTAAGTCAGACTCAATATTACTGTTTATCTTCAAATTTCCTATAAATTTCATAGTCTGTTCTATAGTACCTCTGTGTATTTTAAGTTAATTAAATTTCCATGACCTGATTTCAGTTCTTCAAATCCTCAAGTAAAGCTGATGCTTGAAGTGTGCATAGCAGGTTTGTTGGATTTTTGTAGCCAGAGGCATTTTGTCACAGACCTAGGGATTTAGATATCCTGTCTGGGAAACATTGATGTAAGAAAAGAAGGCACCAATAGAATTGTTATTTCTTATGCAAATTATAAATGTATATAGTGATAAGGTTGAAAGTAAAGTATTTGTAGATTGTATGTCTTCACACCTTCCAGAGGGAGAGAATTTTTCTCAAGTGTTCAGCTTCTTGAAAATTTTCAATAATTATTGGCTCTAGATGCAGCCTGTTATCTTCCCTGACATATTATCTATATCAAATTAGAAGTTAGAAATACAATGTGACTCATTTTGGAACTTCATTTAAAACGTGATTAGAGTCTTTCTGGCTTATTTTATTTTCATTCCACTTTAAGATAAGTGATAGGGAAGAACACAAAATTCTATTACTGTTGAAAGTAAGTTTTGCTAAATATATAAAGATACCATCTCTCTAAGTATTTGATTTAATATTTAATCAATTACAGATATAGAACATTTCTGTTCCCTAAACTTTTCTAATTATTGCATATATTAGTATCTTACTAGAAAGCCTCGATTCAGCAAGGTGCCTATAAATATCTTCTTATGCACTTAGATAAAAGATTAAATCTATTTCCCACAGTTAACTGAGAGAATATCTGGATGGAATGAATATGAAATCATTTTTCTCCTAGTATCTTAAATCTAAAATGCATGGTTTCTTTCTCCCTAATTTTATACCCTTCATAATGTCAAGTTGAATCTTGTGGCTTTTTTAAAATTAAACAGAATACTGAGCTGTAATCATACATAGACCTTTCTTGATGTTTTGAGATAACCCAAGTTAGAAGAGAGAATTTTCCTCTTGCAGGATCCAGGAATAGAAGGCAGTTTAGTAATTATATTTCTTAAGAAAATGTAATCTATTATTTAAAAGAAGGACTCAAAATTCAATTTCAGAGCAATATACTCCTTCATGAGCCTTGTTTTCCTACAGTGCCCAATGACCCTCTTGTGCCGACTGCTGTGTTAGGTGAGGTCCTAAACCTTTATCGTCATCTCATCATCATTGTTATTTATTTATTGCATGTATCACAACTCCTTGCATGAGTTATAGCTTTGTCTGTTTGTGGTACAGAAAGCAACTTATACTTAAAATAGTTATGTCTTGAGAGAGAGCCCATGCAATTAGATCTAGTCCATTTCAGTGGAGCAGAGTACGGGATACTGTTGAAGGCACCATATTCTTTAAATTAGGATTCTGTTGGATTTGCAGCAAAAGTTCGGTGGCCTTTACTAGAGGACTAGTAGTAATCTATCCTAGTTGGGAAACAAGCCTAAATGCTGCGGATCTCAGGAGCCAATGATAGCTAATACTAGCTTTTTATAAAAGTTTACTGTACAAAGGAATTTTTTCTAAATCCTTTCAATTGCATAGCAATAAAAGAAAACATTTATAAGTGAACATTAGTATTGGAAGCACTTGCTTTTCTTTTGTCTTTACTAAGACTTTCCCACCACGAGTTACATTGCTAGAATCTTGATGTCGGGTTTGGAGCTGTAGATAAGCTTTACACATGTGATTAGTGCTATCTTTCTAATATTTAGAACAAGCCACCTGGTTTACCTCTGTGCCACATCTAAGATGCTGACATTGCTAGTGATGACAGGCCTTCCAGAAATAAAATCACATTAATCTTAAAGCAGAGCTATTTCAGAAACTAAATGAGTTTCATTCAAAGTATGCCTTATCCTCGACCAACAGTTGGCCTGCTTGATTGAATGTTCACAAGTTCGTATCTGTTTCACTCCAATATTTTTAATTAAGATTTAACCAAAGAAATGCGGAAACTGTCAGATAACCATATCTTAAAATTCACAAATGACATTTGTTATTTGTAACATCTCATTAAATATAAAACTTTTTGCTTACCTTTTATACATATGTTTTTAGTATCTGTGTTTGATTATGTTACAAATGTTTTGGAACAATACAACTAACCCAATTAATAAAAATGTATCTTGCCCACTAAAATAATTATTTCAAATTATAATTCTATAATTGAATTAAGGAATATATAGTCTAAAATAATCTGTTTTTCTTCTACTGCCCTCTATGGGTGATGTCCACATTAATAAACAGAGGGAAATGAATTTGGTATTTGTCCCAAGGAATGACTGCAGTGATAGGGTAGAGCCTTGAATGATAGCCACTGAGGGGTCCCTGAATGCCTCTGTAGATAACATTTCTCCTTCAGTACCAAAGGACACTGTCAATATCAATTTAAAAGAAAGTTCAATTAAAATATTATTAAACTCATTGGAAAAGAATCAGTTGCCTGGAAGGTAATATTTCATCCTAATGATTTTCTAATAGTATGCAGAATTAGGTCCGAGTCTCAGTCCTCCTATGCAGTAACTATTAGTTCATGAACATACCTTACATGTTTGATTTCTCATTACTATACCAGTAAAATATTTAGTGCTGCATAATTTTCACAGGATTTTATAAAGGGAAAATAAAATCATGCTCTTGACTTTTATAGATACCAAAGTTTAAATAATGATTGCAGTACCCTTCCTTCTGTAAAGGAATATTCAGGTGTAAGGAAGAGCATGGTCAACAAGGACATGTGATGTGTTTATGTAAATGTCCATTATGTGTTTTATTTTGTTTTGAAAATCAAATTGGTTGACATGAAATAAAGAGTCCACCCAAAAATGTGGACACATATCAGGAAAATAAATAAATATTTTAATACTAAATGTATTGAGATATGAAATTCATGCAAGTTATCTTTGGCCTCTACAATGATAAGAGGTGCCCCAAGTGGCAGCTGTCAGCTGCCATACATGTATGAGTACGGTGAACTGCTGTTTGGGTAGCCTGTGTCACTGGGATTGCTACATGTGAATTTTCAAGTTTGGCCATGTAGTGAGTTTTCTGCAATATAGACATCCCCTAGGGGCCCCATCTGTTGAAAAAATATCATACTGTTTTTCTTTTTCTGAAGTGTGTGTACATTTCTTTTGGTGGACTCTGTACATTTGATGTTCTTTAAAAGCTAAGTCTACCATAAATCATTTTAGATATACAAAAGCATCGCATTTTTATCAGACTATAGTTTTTATAGTTACTTTACATCTAATTGATTTTGTATTTGCAAAGTGATTTTTGAAATCACTGCAAATATTTCTTAATAATATTGTCTACTTACTGACTTAAAGGGCTTAGAGGTTTTTCATATTGATTCATATTTTTGTTTTTTGTGTTTTACTGCTTCATCGGGTTTAAGTCCCTATAACCGGTAAGTGTATTGCAAAAAACTCTAGAAAACCTTTCAATCAAGGATAGAGTCGTTATTTTCAAATATGTTAGAAGGACACTGATTAGCACGTGTATCCTCACTAGCAGTTGCTTTATTAGATGGTTTAATGAGGTAGAAATATGTTGAGATTAATAATTCATGTGTGATTATTTTAAAGACCTTCCTGATCATTGTACTGCTTGCTGTGTTAAAGCGTAATGCGGCACCAAGGCACTGTCAGTTTCGCATTGGGAGACAACCAGCTGTAAGAACTGGCATATGGGTGAATTCTGTGTTTCTCACTGAGCCTCTTGAGATTGTAACAATTCCACTGCTCTAGCAGGCATTGTGTGAGCTCTGAGGATCTCCACAGAGCCCTGGCTGCTTGGTCCGGGTGCAGTGATTGCATTTACCTCTCTGATATGACCTGTTCTCTCCATGTCTCATTTTACATTGTACATTCTGTGATGGTGCCTCACCTCAGTTACTTCTAAGTTTAATTTTTGTGGGGAGATGTACATATTCTTTATGTCAGTCTACTGCTTGTAATGTTTAGGCAGAGGCAGATCAGTTGACTGTAGTCTCAGCTTAAGGCAGTAACTCTTGTGAATCTTGTCTGCTGGCAAATGTTTTCCTATAGTGGTGGGCCAACCCCACATAAATAGCATCCTTTCTCATGGTGGTTGAGTCACAGAAGGTCTACCAAGCGATTTTTCATTCAATGTGATATTTTTAGGAATAAATGCCAAAAAGAAAACATTCATTTTAATAAGGGAGGTTAAAGTAAATGCAATCAAGTTAAATTATAGAGGTATACGTATCTGATTGTAGGGTTCTCTTTTTTTTTTTTTTTTCCCTTCTCTAGGAAGAAAAAATGTTTATCATGGGGACAACAATTCATTTTTTGCCATATCCTATTTGTAGACTTGGTGATAGAACAGGCAAATGTACCAGCACTTGAAATATGTTTTAACTGTTAATTAAATATCATTCTCTACAGTATGCATTATCATTAAAAACAAAATTTCCCGAGTGTATTTTCTTTTCTGTTAATGAGTATGACAATATAATGCTTTTCAGAGTAACATCCCTTAAAACATTTGTTTTCTTTGAAAGTGGTAAGTTTAAATGTGATAAATATAAGCATGCCTCTCTTTGTAATGATTAGTACTTCCATCATTAAAATATTGTTTATTCTTCTTAGGCACAATGTTCTTGTTCTTTTCTTGCTCCTGATGACAGAAAGCAAATTAAAAGTTTCTTTTCATTTTGAGCAAATAACACAATTGGGGAGGGGCTGCACTTAAATGTGGGTGGTAAGGGATTCATTTGATTTTAACTTACTTGTTGAAGTATTTATTAGACTGCTGTGAGCTAGGGGTAAAAACTAGGACTGTGTCTACACGCTCTGCACTCAGGCCTTAGGAAAGCATATAAACAGGTACATAAACAGTACAATAGAGATCGAGTGAAGTGACATGTAGGAGAGAGGAAAGCACTGCATCATGAGAAGGAGCCTTGTCACCAGGTCGGAGCAGTGTGGGGAGAATCCAGAGGTGATATCCACAGTTTGCTCTGGAAGCACCCCTGGTTTTGCTCGCTTGGGGATCACAAAGGTCTAAATATATTAACAATAAGGCAACAATCCTAAGGAGAAACCAAGGGCAGAAATCAAATCAAATGCACATGGAGCCTGGCCTGCAGGCAGAGTGGGGTCCAAGGTTGATCAGAAATGTGCTCACGTTTTCCAGCCTAGGCTGTGCTGCATTAAGCAGCCCCAGGTCGCAGGACCTAGGCGCGCTATGGGGACCAGAAGAAGAACTATGGGGATGAATGGCCAGGTCAGGTCTCCGAGGGAGGCTGGGAAGGGGTGGGAAGGGGCTTGTCCGAGTTAATCTGTAATGTGAACACTTCAGCTGCTTATTTGGTCTTCCGGTCACACCCAACAGTACTATAACTGCAGATGTTGGAACAGTGAAAGCCCAGCTAGCTCCCTCCTGTACTGTTCCAGAAAGCGAATCCCACATCTCATAGCACCATGTCTTGCTAACACAGAGAGAGTATGCTCTGACCTCAAGCCTCGAGCTGATGAAAAGCCCAAGACTGTTTCTAAGGGGTTGCTCCCCTAGGCTTCTACTGGCTGGCATTTCCTTCCCTTCCGTGTGTTACCACAAAGATCTTAAGCTCTTAGAATCTCCTTTGTGTAGATACGTATTCAACAAGATAACTTTATCTCTTTTTTAATCTTCTGGAATATGAAAAATGCCAGATGAAAACCACAGTGCTGCAGCAGAGTCCAGCCGCCTCCTGGACGTGCCTCGCTACCTCTGCGAGGGGACGGAGTCCCCTTACCAGACAGGCCAGCTGCACCCCGCCATCCGGGTGGCAGACTTACTGCAGCACATCAACCTCATGAAGACGTCAGACAGCTACGGATTCAAGGAGGAGTACGAGGTGAGTGCTTCGGTCATGTATCACAGTTCATCCTTACCCATGGCATGGGAGGAATTTAAGATTCTCCCTCCCTTTCACATGGCAAGGAGTGGAGCGTGCTGTGTAGTCCAGTGTTTATGAGTGTCAGTCAAGGGTAGGTCTTGGGGAAGGGCATGGAATTGAATCAAGAAACAAACAAACAAACAAACAAAATGATTCCTAAGTATAGATCTGGATCAGTGAACTTTAGTGCTAGATTCCATAATTTATTTGCTGGGTATTAAAAACACTTTGTTGGGCCGGAGACTTAGATCATATGTGCCTGCCTGGCAAGTGCAAGGTCACGAGTTCGATCCCTGGTACCAAAAGAGAAAGAAAACCACTTTGTCACCATCTCTTTATATTCTCCTACTTTAAAAAGGCATTTGGCAGGACTGGAGTCCCATGGTGCCATGGCAGATTCTGGCATTGATGACTTAGTACCAGATATTTCTGTCTCTTTGCTTCTGCATCATTGCAGTGAGGATAACGAAGGTTCTGTCCTCTGTGCACTGCCTGCCCAGCTCGGGTTTACATTGGTGTAGATCGGATGAGGGTGGCAGAAAAGAAGAAGGGGGCCCTGCAAACCAAGTAAACAAGAGTAAGATGCCAAGAGAAGGAAGCAGGGAATTCTTCCAACCTACTTGCCCTTCCCACTCAAACCAAAATACCAGTGTTTATCTTCCAGAGGAAGTAATTTAAACAGAATGCTCCAACAAACACAGTGTGGCCGAAAGGGCACAATGCCCGTGCCACGCTGTGCCTGCTGAGAAATGCTAGTCGGGACATGGAAGCTTGTCCAACCCCAACTTTATCCTCAGGACTCACAAGCACATTGAAAGTGAAAGAATCCAGTCAGTACTTTACATTAAAAACTGAAGCAGATCCAACTACATGAAAAAAAAATCTTTAAAACCCCACATTTCATCCAAAACTACTGGTATCACTTATTTAGGAGGTGAATAAAATCCATCTTTGAATTTTTAGTGTTGGTTTTAGATGCTTGCTGAAGCGCTATGCTGTGATAACAAAGTCGATGCAGGGAAAATTAGAATATTCTGCCAGAACTGGCTCTTTCTGTTCACTTCATGTGCATTCCTGTGTACTTTGCTTCAAAGACTGTGGGCCCTTTGAAGCCCCCACTTCCTGTGTTGAGCAAAGTTTTAGTTTTTCTGCAAAAAGACATCTTTCTACATATTTTAAATTGGTGCATATGGTAATTACACCGATCAACAAATTCATCTGTTCCCAGATTCTTGGGCAAGGGGGAGTTCTTAATTTTCATATAGTCCCTTGTCGTAGGGACGGTCCTTTTCATGATCTTCAAAGAAACCGAAATGTGATGTACTACACATAATTGAATGAATAATTACAGTGGGAAGCAGTGGGGTTTTTGTTGTGATAGATACTACTGAATGCATATTTGAAATACAGTCAGTAGAAGTGGTTTTTGCTATTTTGGTGGATTATTATTCACTATGTTTGAAAAAGGATAATGGTTTTTTTCTATTTCCATCTTACAAAGTTGCAGCTATCTTAAATGTGAAGGACTTTCAAGGTCCTTTTATTTCTCTGGTTTTTTTTTTTAATGTCCTTAATTTGAACTCTATCTAATCCAAGATGAACAAGCATGAGTCCAAAAACCAATTCTGAGATCTGAAAATGGAACTTGGTTACCACCATAGGAATCCTGCCTCCCCAAGAAAGTGATTTTTCCTACTTTAGGCTTCAGAACAGATAAACAAGTTTTACAAAAACAGAATTAAATTCAGTGTGCTTGTTAATTTCTGTTCTTTTCCCAGAGCTTCTTTGAAGGTCAGTCAGCATCGTGGGATGTAGCTAAAAAAGATCAAAACAGAGCAAAAAACCGATATGGAAACATTATAGCGTGTAAGTTCCCATAAAATCCTTGGTGATATAAATATTGTGTGTACTGAGATGTACCCTGAGCTGTCATTCCTCCTGTGTGATTTCAGACTTCAAGGTAATCCTAGAGGGTGGCATATCAGTTCATAAAGTAATCTATTTAATATTAAGAACAGGAGCAGTATGAGCAGAAACTCAGTTGTCCTTGTTCTCATTAATTAAATTGCCTCAGTTTTCACCATGTGGGGATAATTTCCTCTTTATTTTTATGTTTGTATACACCTTGCATGGGGTGTTATTGACAGCTAAAAGTATCCAGATAATGAAAACAGTCTTTTCAGGCATAAATACCTTCAGCACACTGATCATACTCCGTGTTGGGGGCTACCCTTTCTGCATACCTTTCTTCCCTGCCGGGAACGTGTGACTGGCACCAGTCATTCCATGTTACCCAGCCTTTGGAGCTTTCTACAGATTCAGGCTTCCTGATGAGGACCTGAGAAAAATACAGTCATCGCCCCTGGAAATTGCAGGAGCAATAAACAAAGTAGCAGATGATTTAACTTCTATACTGATTTGCTTCTTTCATGAATTTAAATAATTTTCAAGTATCTGAAATGCATCAAATCCTAACCTTGATGGTCAAGGCTTAAGAAAAGAGGAAAATTCAAAATTCAGGCTAGTTCTGAGATTTATTTGGCTGTTAAATACAGAGAAAAGTGTTCTTCTCTACTTAAACTTTTGCCTAAGAACTGGAAGTAGACTTTGTGCCAATTATGTTCTCTAGTCAGGTTCCAGGATTGCATTCGTAGACACTAGCTCATTCCCTTGGTCTTCCTGACTGTAAATGTAAGCTGGGAAGGTGTATGCACAGGCTACTATGACTGTAATAAGTAATAAACTCATAAAGTTCTTGCATTTCCTTATGATGACCAATTGGGTAGTAGTAAATTGCACATAGAGGGTAGGCGATACGAATAAGAGAGACTAAACTCTTTTAAATTGCTACCATTCACATTGTCTCAGAACAGGGGGAGATTTATAGGCTCTTTTATTATTTAAATATTTCAGACGACCACTCCAGAGTAATTTTGCAGCCCGTTGAGGATGACCCTTCTTCAGATTACATTAATGCCAACTATATTGATGTAAGTACTTCAATGGTCTGTGGATTGAGAGTAGCTCACTTTATCATCTTAAATCTGTGAACTTTTTGCTTGTCATTACCTGTAAAGTAATTGCTAGCTTTTTAAATAAAGAACGAACTGTACACATTTCCTTATTCTACGTCCTAGTACTTACTGATGTTGTTGTGCTTTCTTTCACACCTGACTTTGGTTTGGGCTGTAGATTTGGCTGTACAGGGATGTAAGTACCACTATATGTAAATAACAGCACCCTTTTATAAGTATTTAATATCAATACTCTTAATTATAATTATTACTAATGCTTACTACCAGTTATTTCTGCATGCTTCACCTAATTAGTCTCATAAAGCATATTTATGTTCATTTTTTGTAATTCTTTTACATGTGCAAAGATCTATTTTACCTCCTTCCCTTATCTTGTTTAGAAAAACAGGTCATTTTTGGCAACAGTTATGTACTCGAGTTTTATTTGTTGATGATTTCTGTTTCTGACTTTTGATTCTTACCCTTTCCCAAACATATGTGAGAAGCTGGATAGTATGATGTGTATTAGAATTTCTAAAATTTAATTTTAAATTGGCTCCTGATGTTCAAATAAGTAGGAGACTCTTCTGTGGGGTGTGGTTTTGGCTTCTAAGGCAAAATTATTTAAGCAAAATGATTACTAAATTGCAATTTTAAAATACTTATATCACACATATATATCGAATCTTATCAATGAAAAGTTAGATTTGACAATTTACTATGAAATTTAGATTTAATTATTTATATGTACATGCCAATTATGTAAGAAAAAGTAATATCAAGTAATCTATTGTTAAGGAGGCAAAATATTACATTTTATATAAGGAAAACGGGTTCTTTGTTCATGCCACCTGGTTCAAAATCACACTGGAGATCTTGGGAATGTTACCTTTCTACCTGTGCATCAGTTTCCTACACTCCAGAGAGGGCCTAATAATTATAGTGCTAATCCCATCCCTTTATTATAAGAATTGAGAGAAAGAAGGCATGTTGAGTGGTATCATGCCTGCTACATAGTTAGCATCCATTAAGCTCAGTCATTTTCAACACTTAAAATGGAGATGCTGAAATCAACTGATTCAAAATGTACATAATTCTAGGGCAAAATGTAGAAACTCAGTACTTGAGAATAATGCATAACTTTTAAAACTGCATAGATGAGCAGTAAGATTCAGTGTCTTCTAATTTCCATAAATAGAAAATAATTTTGATCACACTTAGGAAGTCAATGTTTTAAAAATACTTTGAGTTTATAAGTATTTATTTGGATTATTGTATTAAGTATATCATGTGAGTATACTGGTTAAATTTTAGATCATAATCTTATTCCATCTTTAAATTCAGCAGAAATGTCGTCGTGGAAAGCTATGCTGTCTACTCTTTACGATAAAAGAAATAAACATTTCTTTGATTAAGTTTGTAATTGCTCTTACCTTTTTGCTTTAGCTTTTTCTGCCAATATATTCCAGATATATACACTAGAGCCTTAGCATAATACTACTGTATGTTTCATACTATAAGACTACGTTCTAAATAATTGTTACTCAACATTTGTTAAGACCCCAGTGTATTTTGGCTGATTATTAAATAATTATGTCATTTCCTCTCCTATTACATTATTATAATTTCAGCAATTGGTAAATATTTTATTAAAAATGACTTGAGGTGCTTGCATAAAACATTATACTCTGTTGGCATATGAAGAAACAGAAGTCTTCAAGTGGTGCAATGGTGTAATTCAGTCACATGCTACTAAATTTTGGGTTCAAGATCTCAGCTCATATGCACTTATACGTACACTAAATTTGCAAAACAAAAATGTGGACAGATTTTTCTAATAACTATTACTAAATTCTTTGGAAAACGCACACCAGATTTGAAAACTTAACCCAACAATATTTTTGCAAAACATGATTTCTTTTAAATCTGGCCACCAGAAAGCAAATAACCAGACATTCCTTATCAGGAATAATTTATCAAAATAATATTAAATGTTTACATAAGACTTCTGTAACACTGAAAGTAAAATAAACCTTTGGTTAGGGATAAGATGCACTTTTAAAACAATTCTTTCTCTATATATGTGTGTGTACCTGTAATTATGTGTGTGTGAATTAACATTAGCATAAGCAGCACACACAAAATAGTTTTCATGGATTCCTGAACATGTTGTAGAACATGGATATTCTCCAAAAGAATCTCAGCAGGACTTTGATTGGATGCACACATGCATTGTCCAGCTCTAACATTGGAATGTTCTGTATTTTTTTATGGTTCTAATATGTCCTCGTCCATTTGTAATGCAGTGTGTTGTACTTTTGGATGACAAATCAGAATTAATATTTTTAAACACAATTTTAGCAGGAATGAATGACTAAAGATTAACATGAAGGCATAAACATTTTAGTGAAATCAAAGAAAATCTATGAGGTTATTCCATAGCAAACAAAACTCAATTATATACACCATGTATTCCAATCAGAGCCTTTAAAATATTTAATTTTTGCTTTATATTTACTTTGCAGATAACGTACGTTTGAGCCGTGAACTATACGTTCACTGCTCATTTCTTTACTTTTTACTGTAACTTAACCTTAACAGGTGGTTGTCTTCATCTTTTTATGCCTTCATTGATTGATTTGTGATCCTGTTGTAAAGTGATAACTGAAATGTTCTCCTGTTTTAGGGCTACCAGAGACCAAGTCACTACATTGCAACCCAAGGTATCAATTTGTCTTTACAAATGCTACGGATTAAAAACTTTGCTTATTCAGCCATCTGGCTCTGCTTTGCCATTTTTTCAGAATTAACTGAAAAGATTAACTTTTCTGACACTGCTCTTTACTCATTTGCATAGTATAAGTTTTTACCTGGCTGAAACATAGATTTGGTTGATTTTTAATTCAACATATATAGAAGTTGCTGGCAGTCTCTGTAATTTCATTCTCAGCATCCTCCCGTCTCAAAACATGAATCCACAGTACTGGGTTGAGGAAGGACTTATTTTGGGGGGAATGTGTGTGAGGGCTCTCCTTGTAGAAGGGGCTGTGTTCTTCTAGCAGAATGGATCAGCCTAGAATATAATAATTCCCAAGACCAATACTGCTACAGCGAGACATTACACTGTTTCCCTGCAAGTCAAGACTGAGACAAAACAGACCTAGAGGGAATATAGTAAGTGTATTCATTATGGAAAATAAAAATTTTGGAAATCTGAGACGGGTGCTCTAGGGAATGAAAGTACCCAAAACAAAACAAAAGTTATTGGTAGTTGTCTCTCCAAATTGATGACTGGCCATCAAAACAGTATACAACAGAAAAGTAAAACCAAAGCCATGTTTGCCCTTTTGACAGAGGTCCTTTCAAAGTATTTTGACATAGCAGTAATCTTCTAGTTTCACGGTACCGAGGATGACCTGCACATGGGTGGTGTGTGCAGTAATATTATGATGTGTTATGTGTAAGAATGCTTCTTCTCTAACTTCCAAACTTACGCTGTTTATGAATAATGAAGATCTATTTAATTACTAATACCTCCATTTGATTGATGGTGACTTGAGTTCTACTTTGCATATGCAAAAGGCAACTTAGTGGTCAGTTGGACTGCCCTAGAAACTCGTGTTATTGTCGTCTGAGTTGAGAGGCGTAGAAGCAAATTGTAAAAACCATGTCTATGCTTGTGATATTTGCTGCAATGTGAATTTAGATGTCAGTAGGCTTCGTGGCATTTTGTGTTAGCTTTTTCTATTTAATTTAGTCTACTGTGGATCTTATCTAAATTGCTCACTAACTACAAAATTCAAATTAATTGCTTCATAGGCCCCGTTCATGAGACTGTCTATGATTTCTGGAGAATGGTCTGGCAAGAACAATCTGCCTGCATTGTAATGGTGACAAATTTAGTGGAGGTGGGCCGGGTAAGAAAAAGAATTTTTTTTTTTTTGGTCATAAACACAAGCAGAGCTGAGAAGCAGTACACAGTACACTGCAAAAAGAGTATCATTTTTTTTCAGTCACTTATTGATAAAAGTTTTTATAGGAATAACATTTCACTTGAGTGCCTTTGAACTTTCCATGGCTAAGAAATTATTTAATATCTCCCTGAGTAATAAAATAAGCATTGTTTCTGTGCTAAGACCTACGAGCATTATTAACCTTGTACACATTTTATGAGAGTGTACAGAGTTTTTCTATTTATTATGTAACAGATTATTTTTTATTTACAAATATTTCCAACTATGTTTTAGTTTTGTGACCTAAAGAATACCCACCTGAGTTAAGTCCTCTGGGCTAATGTGTATTTTGGGTTCAGGTCTACCTATGTGTGTACTGTTTGTGTCTTTAAGGTTAAGTGCTACAAATACTGGCCTGATGATACTGAGGTTTATGGTGACTTCAAAGTAACCTGTGTAGAAATGGAACCACTTGCTGAATATGTAGTAAGGACATTCACTCTTGAAAGGGTAAGTATTAAAAATTACATTGAAACCATATACATGGAAACTGTTGGTCTCTGCAAATCCTTACCAGGTTTTGTTTTAATGATATTACAAAATAAATTCCTTCCACAAATATTTCTCTCAGCATTCATATGGTCCAGGCATGTTTGCTTAACCTTGGGATGTGTGGAGGTTATCATCTAGAGAGGGGAGACAGTAGGTAAATATGAAATAAGCAGCTGTACTATGAAAGTACTGAGCTGTGGTTAAAAACAATACTGTTGGAAATTGAATTGGGGGATGTTACTGAATGAGAAGACACAGTGCTTCACACTTTTTGAAATGGTGATTGCAGAAGGATTTGCCGAGAAGTAACTTAAGCAAGGATCTGGGGTAGTGTTGGGTTGTGTCATTTCAGTGGCCTCATGGTTTAAGTATCCCTGTACCAGGGAGAAATGCCCTGGAGGCCTGGGCACCAAGAGATGGGTAAGTAAATGGAAAAGAATGTGAACTGGCATCAGAGAAGTCACAGAGCCAGGAAAGTGGGACCGTTTTGATGAGTTTAGCTTTTAATTCAAAAAATCTGAGGTTCACACAATCTGATTTTGATTTTTAAGGAAAAGGACTAAAGCAGGAGTGTGATATAGGAGCCAGAATTGAGGCACAGAATCATACATTGCTGCAAGAGAGCACAGTACATTTAGGCACATAACAGTGTAAACTTGTTTGTAAAACAAATATTAAAAGCCACACACAAAAGAAATTTGTGACTATCAGTGTTCTTCATAGTTTTACTATAAACAGAAAACACTAGAACCCCTGGAGAAAGGCACCTGTTAACATCCCTGTCAAAGATATATAAACTTATATGTGGATATATAGTTTTGTACTTTCAAATCCCCCCCCAAAAAAAAAAAAGTTTAGAAGACTAAGCCTCCTCAAATGTGGGTACTGAAATATTTTCATACATTACTGGTCTTAGCTAAATTGCTTTAAACCCTTTGTATATTGAAAAAAGCAGTTTAAGTTAGAATTTTAAAATTTTGATGCCATGAGAGTTTATCTTTATAAATCTAGTCTTAGGTGTTAACACATAAGGTAAAAATAGCAATAAGCTTTTTCAATGGCTGTAAGCAATCATCACCAAAGTAGACAGCATATTACTTTTGAGGAACAATATATAGTTAAAAGGGCAGTGAAATTTGAAAAAAGGACATTTACATATATTCAGTGATTGTTTATATTTTTGCACAGTTATACGTAAATATAAATATTTTATAGTAGGAAAATAGTTATAAGAATATAGACAAATAATTGCTAACTATCATTTTTAATAATGACAGTTTAACAATGACATTTTTAACAATTTTAACATGAAAAGATAATTAAAGAAAGTATTAAATAACAACCAACATTATATGGAACAACATAATTATATGTATTGCAACTATAAAATGAATGTAACTTTGACAAATCAATCAAAATAAAATAATCAATAATAGAGATGTCAAAAACAGAACCATTAAACTGAATTTATTATCTTTTATTATTAAATATAGAGAATGGAAAAATACATTCCCTTAAATTCTTAAGAGTGCTATAAAAAGCAATTATGAACTTAATCATAAAAGAACACTTTAAAAAATACACATTAAAAAAATATTGAGGGGTTTCATAATCTAGCAGAGAGCACAACAAATCATTGAGCAGTGCCCTGCAAGTTAACTCTTAGAAATCCTTCTCCTAATAATCCTTGAATGATTTCCTCAAAATGAAAATTAAATTTTACAAACCACAATTTACATGAAAATCTACCTTAGGTTGTCCCCCAAAAAAATTTTTGTAAAAGATTTCTATTTTTGAAAGGCAATTAAAAATCATGAAAAGTTATAAAATTTGAAAAAAATCAATAGACTATGACTGGAAAATTAAATATAAAAAAGAAATACAAACAATTTGGAAAAATAAATTAAAACCATAGTTCCTTGAAGAGATCAATAAAGTAATTAATTCATTGTCAATTCAAAATTTGACACAATGAAAAGGTATAATATTGCATAAAGTATACCATATTAGAAACACAAGAAAAGATATAACTACAGCTATGTTTACTAGTGTAGGAAAGTTATAATCCTTATGCATGAACTGAGGCCTAAATTTTATTGTAGAGACACCAATTTCTTGGCAAATTATACTTTCCAAAACATGGCCCAAAAAGAGTTAGAAACCTGAAAAAATGGTAAAGAAAACAGAATGAGTGAGGTGTTTATCATTAAAATTGTACTATGAATTTATAGTGAGGCCTTCTATCCTTTGAAATAATAGCCAATGCCTATATCATTCAAACTATTTCAGCCATCCAAGCTATTAAAATTGACAAAATATATTTGGGAAGCCAGGATAATGATGATAAGACAGGCAAACTAGGATAGCACCCTTTCAAGCTCACACCTCTTCTGGACCATGTCCTGCAATAAACCAGCATCCCTCTCTGGGTTAGTCTCTCTCTCTGTCTTTCTCAGCACATACACACGTGGTAGACCAATTTCATTTCAACATAAGAAATCTTCAAGATAAAATGCTGAATATTTTAATCCAGCTGTGAGTTACACATCATGTGATCGATCGTGATTTTTTTCTTTCTCTAAGAGACCAAAGATATTTCACCTATGATGGGAAATCTAACAGACCATTTCATTTTGTTACTATGTTAAAGGAGCAAAGTTATATGATTTTATTAATAGCTTCATGCATTTAATTTTATTTCAAAGACATCTGTAGTGATATTCTAATTAGCAGAGTAAGTAGACTTCCTAAACATAGTGAAGACAATCAACAATAATATTTTATTATAATAAACCAAATTAAAGACTCTTATTCCTACTACAGTTAGAAAGAATTAAGTAGCCATACTCACTAGTATTCAGCATGATTTGGAAATTTTAACAAATGATCATAGCAAAAGCAACACACTGTAACAATTACAAAAGACTATTACTTTAAGAAGAAAGTATTTTATACCAACAAAACTAGATATAGCATTTCAAATAGTGAAACTAGTACACATTCATTTAAATGACTAATTCAATGTAAATATTCTTAAATCATGCCTTTATATCAGCAATAAACAGAAAACAGACGTTAATATTATTTCACAATAATGAAATAGTCCAAAATTTGATTGTATTTTACAAGCCACAGATACTAGTTGAATAAAACAAAACATATTATAAAATGTGAATGAAATGGAACAGGCACCACATCCTTAAATTTAGGAGTATTTGATATTAATAAAACTGCATAGATTTAATACAATTCTGAGACATCACGGGATTTTTATTTTTAACTTTTATTATTTAGAACCGGAAACTGGTAATTTTATTGGAGGGAACCAACCACATATTTTGTTAGTGCTCAGAAAATTTTAAGTGAGACGAATGATAGAATACTTACCATCAGATATTTAAACAATGACTTAAAAAAGCAAATCTTACTCATGTGACAAGAAAAAAAAGGGAAGCAAGACCACTCTGGTTGTAGTGTTTCTAAGAGAAGGAGACACAATTATCTAAAATCAGGCCTCAGAATACCTCACGATTTTTCCTCCCTAAAACTAGCTTGAAAAGTTACAAGGAACGTGTTTCTCCATGAGTGTAACTTCACGATGTTCGCCCTGTGATTGCCATAATTGTTTGTCGAGCCCTGCTCTGCTCAGGATATTGTGTGCTAGGAAATGGAACCAAAGAATTGTAAGGCAGTATCCCCGGCGGCTTCCGAGTGTGTTGGGGTTATCGGTTTCTATGAGATGAGCTGCGATAATCTCTCTCAGTGTAACATCTTTGCCTTTTCCAATGGGAGAGGTAGTCTTCAGTATGGTTAGAAGCACAGTGAGTTTGTTTCCCTTTTGCCTCAAATATGAACTCTTCAAAATAAATTTTTCAGTCTTGATGCTCCACATGCTGTGTTGCCCCATTGTACAGACTCCTTTTCGTGAGAGGAAAGAGAGCTTTGGGGTGCACCTTGACAGGGTTCTCTTGCACTAACTTGATGGGCGAGATGCACAATGAATGCTTCATGTCTTACATTTTGTACTTTTGTTAACTCTGAATAATCCACACTGAACCATTTCACAGAGCTAAGAAATCAGTTTACCGAAAGTACGGTTTTAGCTGTTGGTGCATTTTCGCCAGCCAATGTAGAATGCCAGCACCCTGCAAAATCCCTCTGTGCTACTCTTCAAAGCCATTTTCAACATGGATAAGCAAGGCTGAAACCTCTTGGTGCAGCGAGGGGCTGGCAATCCGTTTTCATACAGCGCTTGGGGGTGCAACGCTTCAGGTCAACCGAGCAGCATTTAGGCTCTGGTGTTTCCTCCATTCCCCTCTGATAATTTTACGTGTTGCCTTCCTGGTCAGAAGCAAGCTGCAAGGTAAATAAAGTTGACCCAGACTGATAGAACTGAGAGTTTACGGACGCAGAAGACTTCTCGATTTCTATCTTTGGCAGCACTTGTTGGACAATGAAAGGAAGTGTCTAGGCCATGTTGGGCTAAGATCCTTTTCTCCAAAGGTCTGCTCTATGATGAATTTTTAATAGTCATCGCTGTGGTCTGCATTCGTACCCATAATTGTGTTAAATGGTTTTATTTGGTCCTTTTGAAAGTGCTTGTTTCCATCTTTGTACAGAGAGGGTACAATGAAATCCGTGAAGTGAAGCAGTTTCATTTCACCGGCTGGCCTGACCATGGGGTGCCGTACCACGCCACCGGCCTCCTGTCCTTCATCCGGAGAGTGAAGTTATCCAACCCTCCCAGCGCGGGTCCAATCGTCGTGCACTGCAGGTGAGGGTGGTCCGAACACCAGTGCCTGTGTGCAGCAGGCTTTTTGTGGTCTTGTTTGTTTGCTTATTTTGTTTTTTGAGACAGGGTCTCCCTAAGTAGGCCAGCCTCACGCTGAACTCACTGGTATCCCTAGCTGGCCTTGAACTCACAGTGATGCTCCTGTGTCAGTCTCTCAAGTGCTAGGATTACAAGCATTCACCACAGTGTTGGCAATCAGTTGTTTTGTTCTGTTTTGTTTTAAGAGAATCAAAATAAGACTTTTAGCCCAAAATCTAATATGTACCAACAAACTCCTAGCTTGTGTGTGTTAAGGGGACCGTAAAACAGCAATAAAAGTTAGCTCAAGTAGGATATAAAATAGAAACTTAAGAAAGACATGCATTCCTTTCAATATGTGTGGTACCATCCACAATTACAAGTGTAGAAAACTCTGCCTTTTAGTGGCAGCATCTATGTTTAGGGTGTTTTTTTAATCACTTTTGCAAATCCCATATTGTATGAAATGGAAGGTTAAAAGAGAGGTTTCTTGCCAATCCAGTAAATTCTCACTAGACTCCTAGCATTTAAAGCTAAATTTGAGATATGCAGAGTTACTAAATGACCTAAATTGCAAGAATTTGTGCTGTAAAACAGCTATTTTATGTTTTTCTTCAAAATATCATCCATCAGAGGACATTGAAAAGCACATCAGTGAAATACAGTGAATAGAAACCAAGAGACATGAACATTATATCCAGATTTCTTCTCGTTAGAAACTTCCCTTAAAACAAGCATTGCAAGACACTAAAGGCAAATTACACAGGCTCGTTTTAAGATGTGACCAGAAAAATAAATTCTGAATCTGAAAAGGTTTTCTAAACCTTGTCTCCATTCTCAAATGTTGCCACCATGCTACATAATAGGTTGTACCTAAGCAGTTTTGTTCCCTGAAAATAACAAGCTTTTCAAGATTTAAATGGTCTTGGATAAAAGAGAGCAAACACAGTGGCGAATGAAACAGGTAAGGCATCCCATAGGATCAGATACTGCACACTGCAAAGGAAAAAAAGATCTCTGTTTCAGTGCTGCTCAAGAAATCTGATGTACGCTTCAATTGCTTTCCAGTCTCAAGCCTGGGAACAGGGGTCGAGAAGATGGGAGGGGAGAAAAGAAAGACAGAGAGAGCCACCATGTCTGCTGCTTAAATTCCTAAAAGGACAGAGAGTTTTAAGGGAAGGGACCGAGTCTGGATCACAAAGAAACAATGTTACTAGCTCATCTCAGCATTTGGAAAATGAGTTAAAAGGATTTTCAATTCAGGAACTTCTTGATTTATCACTGAGGTTTACTTTCTTACAAATTGCTTGTTTTAAAAGTGCTGCAGGATCCCCAGATATCCTCTTGAAACAAGTGTCATTTTCTAATTAAACTCAAATATCTCTGGACCTATGGAAAGGAAGAAACTGACTGAAAAGTAAATTCCATGCCTCACCAAGACAAAGCAAAATTCCTTTATTTTGATTTTTTTCCCATATGAAATTGGAGGAACATTTCTAATAGATCAAATAATCAAAAAAGCATTGTGATTCAACTTTTGAACTAAATACAGTAAGATAGTGGCTACTATTGGGACCTGCTGGGAACCATCATCACATGGGCCATTTTGTTTTGATTTTCCCTGGAGATCTTGGGACCAGTGCTCTATTCTGACATCGAGCTGCTCCTCTACGATCACCATCATTTGTCATGAACTGTGGCCCTTCGTTATGTCATTTAAAGGGATTGGAATTAATGTCTTTTGTCTTGGTATTTACCCAGTGTTCCTGAGACCATGAGGGGCCATTGTGACCTCCCTGTCCAAGGACCCATAACAAGATGATTGTGAAAATGTTCAGTATATGTGCTGTAGAAGCAAATTCTGACTGAAATTTTTTTAGATTAGAGTTAGGCTTATGGCATGAATGCACCCCTTGCTGGATACCATGAGTTCACAATGCTGCACACTAAGTTTACATAAAATAAAGACCATGAAAGAGCACTATGGGACCTGAATAACATATACACTATTTTCAGTTGAGAAATAATTTGTGGCTGTTGTTCCAATTTTCAATTCATACTGAATTCATACTATTTTATCTTATATACTATTCATACTATTTCATCTTATATACTATTTCATATGTACTGCAGTATAGCCTGCCTGCTAAGGAACCATGACATGCTATTTGTGCATTAATAAGATTTTAGACAGCATATACCAATGATGTGTTCTGTCAAATCAGTTTATGTGTGTCTGAAAGTGGAACAGATAGGGAAGCATCCACAAATATATATGTTACTTTCATTCTTGCAATTTAATGTTTTCCACAGTGCCGGTGCTGGAAGAACTGGCTGTTACATTGTGATTGACATTATGCTGGACATGGCAGAAAGAGAGGGTGTGGTTGACATCTACAACTGTGTCAAAGCCTTACGATCCCGGCGAATCAACATGGTTCAGACGGAAGTAGGTTGATTTATCTCTACTCAAGTTTCTTTTCTTTTCCTTTTCTTTTCCCCTCTATAAACAAGTCTTCATATATAATCAAAATCAGTACAGGTCATATAACAAACTCAGGGAATTTTCATTAACAGCTGCATGTAGAGAAGAGTCTCTGTGTCATCTGTCTTCCATGGAAAAGTTGTGCTGAAATAGTATCACATTTTCCTTCTCTTTCTTTAATAGGAGCAGTACATTTTTATTCATGATGCCATTTTAGAAGCATGCTTATGTGGAGAAACTGCCATACCTGTCTGCGAATTTAAAGCTGCCTACTTTGATATGATCAGAATAGATTCCCAGACCAACTCTTCCCATCTCAAAGATGAATTTCAGGTGACTATTTCTAAGGCATCTTTTTATGACTTGCCACAATTCGTTCTGGGCATTAATAATTCTTTTAAGAAAGGTTTTCCACGTTAAATTTGTAACCTTTAACCCTACTTCAAGTATAATATAATACCTGTCTCTTTCTTTATGCATACTATGGAGTCACTTTTATATAAATGAGCTCTTGTCTGCTATATTCTGGAGGGAAAATGAGTTCATACTCAGAGAACAGTATGAAGCAAATGTATTATAAAAAGTCAAATGTGGTGATGACTTGTGTGTATTTATAATCTTTTTTAAAATGTGACCTTGTGGGTTTTGCCCTTCTGTGAGATCAAGCACATTTATAACAAAAGCCAAAGTTTGTACTAAATATTGTGTCTAAATAGTGCCAAATATTTTTGCTGCCTTTTAAAGAAATTCCTGAAGTGGGCACAATGAACTGAAGAGTAGCACTAGGGAAGAAATACTGAGATTCTGGTGCTCTCTCCATTGCTCTCCATATTTTCATAACTGTGATCATAAGTGATAAAGTTCCCAGCATTGCAGGGCCATTGTCGCCATGCACTCCGTCAATGATATTTTCTTTGGTTAGGGAATGTAATTCCTAGATACCTAGCTTGGTTAGCTTCCATTTTCCTTTTAAGAAGAGGCACATTGCACTGTGTTTTCTTGGTTTTTTGTCACTTCTCAGGCTTCATTAGATTTAACTAAAAAGTTCATCAGCTTGTCATGGTGATACATATCATGGCCTCACTGCCTACCTGGCCTCCTACATGCTGGACGCAGCCTTGTTGTGTTATTAAATGGGTCACCCTCTTTCAACTTGGCTCCCTTTTTCTTTGTAGACTCTGAACTCGGTCACCCCTCGACTACAAGCCGAAGACTGCAGTATAGCTTGTCTTCCACGGAACCATGACAAGAACCGTTTCACAGACATGCTGCCACCTGACAGATGTCTGCCTTTCTTAATTACCATCGACGGGGAGAGCAGTAACTACATCAATGCGGCGCTTATGGATGTGAGAGCCTGCTCTCTTTGTTAGTGTAAAGTGCTGCAAAATTCAAATGACACAACTTAACACTGGCTTTTAACTTCTAGGAAATTAAAATGAGCTAGAAAGAAAAATTTGGAAATTTTATTGAAGTACTATGTGCATTGTTTTGGGGAATGACTCTAGACCTCCCCTACAGAAATTCTTATGAACAATAATTTTGTAACTTTTTTCTTGTTTGTAACTTGTCAATTATCTTTGTATGTTATATTTTTAGCTAAAGTTATTTTTTTATCTAAAATCATTCTTTGTCTATTTTGACTATCACTAGCAATGATTTTTTAAAACTATGGAAGGCTATGCCCTACCAAAATTGTGTTAAGTTGGGAAATTTGTATCTGTGTCATACTATAACTAACATTTTATTTACCATGCATTAACAGCATTTAAAAGTAACCAGGGCAACTGTATCAATATCATCTACAATTTCTATCACTGGATGGGACTATCTTGCCCTGTTCAAATTTTTATCAGCTACAGGCACTTCCAGCATGCTCTGGGTGTTTGTAAACCATAAACAGAACAGCATGCAAAGAGAATTTAAATTACGTCTTTGGACATCTCACATTGGTTAGGAACAAGAACCCTATCAGGTTCAGAATCCTTCTAAGCAGTTTGACGCCTTTCATTTCCACCTTTTGCTCTTTCATGTGTGGCACCACAGCAAGCAGAAATTAGAAGTCATAAATTACCCTCCACAAATCAGACATTAGTCCAAAATGGAATAGAAACTTAGAAAGCACCACGTTGGGGGCCAGGGATTTGTTCAATGGCACAGAATCTGCCTGACAAGCACAACGTCATGGGTTTGATTTCTAGCAGGCACACACACAGAAAAGAAAAGAAAGGAAGGGAAGGAAAGAGAAGGGAAAGAAGGGAAGGGAGAGGAGAGGAGAGGAGGGGAGGGGAGGGGAGGGGAGGGAAAGAAATTTCACAGGCTCCATTGTTGCTCTCTTGCCTTTGGTTTAAATTATTTTTAGAAAACTCTATTTTGATTGCAGTGCACATTATGCCTCTGTGCCAAGGGCATATAAGCATTGTTACCCTCTTCTCTAGCAAAAAATAGCATACTGGGTCCTAGTCTAGGGGCACAGGATAAACAAGGTAGAATCACACCTTTATGGGCTGTGCGTCTTCTCTGGAGCACTTGAGAATTTTAAATAATTGAAACTCTCATTCTGATCATCGATGTGCCTGAGAAGTACCCAAGGGACCATGGAGAGTAGATTGCCTGCTACAAAATGCACAGATGAGTCCTACATTATATAAAATCGGAAGAGTCTGAGGCACTTAGGTTTTCTCTCATGTGGAAGGGGAGTAGAAGTTTTATTCACATCCCCACACACACACACTCACCATTGATAAACAGATAAACCAAGGACTTCATACTCACTTGGCTTCAGCCCTCCAGAAACTCATTACCTTCGTGAAACTGAAATAGCCCAACAACAAGTCTTGGAGGATCTTAACCTCAACAAGTTCCTTAGCCTCATTTTTGTCTCATTTTGCTACCATTCCTGTATTTACTTCTCAGTGAAGTAAAAATTCGTATCTTGCCCTGGACTGCTTGGGGAAATCAGCGTCTTCCCGGCAGCCGACTCACACTTCACTGAGGTTCGGCTTCCTGGTCAGCATGGACTGGTTCCATTGCCACCTGCCTGTGATGCTCCTCTCTCTTCCTGGTCCTCTCTCCGGGTGTGTGGATCTCTTTTCCAGCTGACTGTGCACTTTAAGTTCTTACATCTCTCCATCTGTCTTGCTCTCCACAGAGCTACAGGCAACCAGCCGCTTTCATTGTCACACAGTACCCGCTGCCAAACACTGTGAAGGACTTCTGGAGGCTGGTGTATGACTACGGCTGCACCTCCATCGTGATGCTAAATGAGGTGGACTTGTCCCAGGTTCGAGCTCAAGGAATGCTTCTGTGTATCTGTGTACAATTTAATAAAACAATAATGGAATGTTAATTTCTGCTTTATGCTACCTAATTAGAGGACAAAATGATCATTTCTTTTCTTTTGAAACCTTCATCTTTTAGGGCTGCCCTCAATACTGGCCGGAAGAAGGGATGCTACGCTATGGCCCCATCCAAGTGGAGTGTATGTCTTGTTCAATGGACTGTGATGTCATCAACCGGATTTTTAGGATATGCAACCTAACAAGAGTAAGTCTTTTTTTGGGTGATTCTATCGAGCTGCTTCAGAACACAGAGACCGTCATCATGTGGAATATAATTCCATCAGACAGCAAGGAAAGAAGAATTAATAAGCACTATGTAAGCCATCCCAAAGCTAGTAATCATCTTATTCTTTAGTGCAAAAAAAAATGCATCCCAAATTTAGGAAGTTAGAAATGCCGAAAGCTACATTTTCTCATCAGTTCTGAGACTCAGGAATTCAATCTGGAAGTTGAGATTCAGATCCAGTAGCTCCATCAGGCTCAGTAGTCCAGGCCAGTCCCTGAGCATAAGTGAACTTCGAGATGACTGCGTGTCCCATCAGTGTTGACATGCATCCCCGAAGAGGCATGCAAATGAAAGATAAGGATGCAGTAATGATGATGACAGAGAAACTTCACCCTGGGAGGAAGCACTACATCAGATCAGCCACTCCAGGAGAATTCCATGTCCTGTGTGCAAGAGCAAAATCCAGCCCAGGGCAAAGGTGAATCCCAGGCACTGCTGATGCTTCTCTGACCCACAGGCTCATCTGTCTGAGTGTTTCAGCATCTGGCTCTGCCAAGACCCAAGGAGAGCACCAATATTGCTGTCTCTGTGTGTTTTCCCTGCAGCTAAGTAGCAACTGTGTCCCTCTGGTTTCTTTTTTCCCTGATTATTCATGTGCATTGCACTAAACGAAGGCAAATTTGACAGTCTTGCCTTTAAAAAAAAAAAAATTACCAATAAAATCTGTTTAGATTATGCAACCAGCTAGAACAGAACTTGAAAACATGAGTAGCCTCCCTGAATTTGTTTTTTTAAAAGGAAAATCAAATCTCTTTTGTAAAGCACCAACTCTCTATATGTACATTATGTTAAGTGTGTGATTAGGATTGTCATGTGTTACAGCTTCCCTTTAAATGGCTATATGTGTGTCTTGTTAATTAGTCTATATGTATATAACTCAGAGCAGGGGATAAAATCATAGTTATATTGCCCATTTCAGTGGGAAAAAAGGATAACTTCAATCATGTCATAATATTCATGCATATCTTAGATGTTAATTTAAATGGAATCTCATTATGTTTGCACATCTGTTACAGTATGGTTCTAAGTAATATTTTAGCTAAGATACTACAGCTGCTGAACTAAGAAAGGAAAACTCATCTGTGAATTGAGGTTGTTTATAGGAAAAATATTCTAGGAACAAGACCAGAAATCTGTGTTACATTTTTTTATCATGTATATTTGTTTGTGTATTTGTTTGTTAATCTTTCTCTATATTTTATGTTCTGGTACTGATAGTGTGTGATTCTTTTTCTGTTCTTCATCTCATTAGGAAGTTCATCTAATTTGGTAAAGTATCATTCATTTTATCGAATATGTGGAATATATAAATGACAAGTTGAATATTATAGTATGACCTACGTCCTTATCAAAAGATGCATAAGCTGTGACTACGTACAATTTAAAATCTCATGTTACGGCTTTAAGCTCTCACCTTATGCTATGGCTTACTCCATATATTGTGTAATTTTCCCTAATTTTCTATCACAGATTTAAGGTTTTGAGTTCTTTTGGAAAATATTACACAAGGTTCTTGTGATACAAAGTATAGAGAGAAAAGAAATGTTTTTATCATTAAGGAATTTATATTTTATCAAGGAAGACAGTTATTAAATGACTAACTATAATCATTTATTGAGTAATAAGACTGATATGCAATGACAGAGGAAAAGCCTAGAATATAGATTATTTTATGGATAAATCAGATATGATTATTACCATTAAAGTGGTGACCAGAGATGACTTCACTAAGACAGTGGCATTTAAGCAAAAATTGGAATCTGTAGGTTTTATTTAAGGGTGAATTATCCAACCATGTTGGTTTATCCAACAGAGATAGCTTCCCAGGGTATATGAATTTCAGTGGAAAAGCCAAAGAGTTCCCAGGAAAATCTGGGTCAAGTTGATCATTCTGTTCGGACTAAGAATGGCAAACAAGGAAGTTTTCAGAGCAAAAAGGACAATCTCTTCCATTTCCAACACAAGAAGTGACTTGATAAATGGATTGAAAGAAGACCAGTGTGTCTGGAGCCCAAGCACTGTATTAGAGTAAAAAGTTTGGGGCAGAAAGTTGGGACAGGATCATATAAAGATTCTTAAATCACAAGAGAGTTTCATGCTGAAGTCATTTGGAAGCCTTTAAATCAAGAATAACCAGATTATGTCTGTATTTCAAAACAATCATGATGCTTATAGTAAGAATAGATTGGAAGAATCAATGTTTACTCAGCGAGATCAGTGTGGACATACTTATAAATTTGATGGGAAGTTCCAATAAAGAAAGGGAGGTCCCTTGAAAATTAAGAAGCATCGTCAAAGGAACTGATATCTGGATTTGGGGTAGGAGGAAAAAGCAGAACAATGGCTCTGTTTCTTATCACAGAAGCTTGCAAAGTTTTCCTCTCGTCTTGTATGTACTTAGGACTTACATCAACTAGACTCAACCCAATCTAAATTTCACTTGAAATTGTAAATGACACGTATTTTTTACTTTTTTGGTGTGTGTGCTATTCCCAGCTTACTCAAATAAAAGTCTCTTCTCTCCACAGCCGCAGGAAGGTTATCTGATGGTACAGCAGTTTCAGTATCTGGGATGGGCTTCTCATCGAGAAGTACCAGGATCCAAAAGGTCATTTTTGAAACTCATCCTGCAAGTGGAAAAGTGGCAGGAGGAATGTGAAGAAGGAGAAGGCAGGACGATCATCCACTGCCTGTGAGTAGCCGGCGTGGCCTGAGCTGGAGCTCGCTCTCTGACGAGCTTTGAACTGAGTCTTAGCCAAGACCTCTGCTGGGTATCACAGTGGAACGCCTGACTCTGCTGTATAGTTAACCATTGACTCTGATGGTTTTACTAAATACTGCTGTATAGCTGTTACATAACTTAAACTCTTTGGGGCATAACTATGAACTTCAAGTATGTTGGAAACTTAGTTTTCCAGGCCGTAGCAGTCTATGCCTATGGCATATTTCTGCATGTGAACTACTATAAGCTACCTTCCTGCTCTTTAGTGTGTCTGTGTTCCCTGTACAAATGCATTCACACATAAAAAGCAAAATGAATGCACAGATGAAGAACAATTTAAAAAACAGTGTATTCTTTCCCAGGCATCTGTGATGGTGCCATGTGCAGCCTCCCTGCGCTGCTGAAATCCCTTTGCTTTCTTTGCTTTCAGAAACGGCGGTGGGCGGAGTGGCATGTTCTGTGCCATTGGCATCGTGGTGGAAATGGTGAAACGCCAGAACGTTGTGGACGTTTTCCACGCGGTGAAGACCCTGCGGAACAGCAAGCCCAACATGGTGGAGGCCCCGGTGAGTGGCAGAACCTTTGCCCAAGAGGGAAGGGTGGAGATGAGCTGACTGTTTGCTTACTCCTTGATTTGACTTCATTCTCATCTTGGGAATCGGATGTGAAAGGAAGTGCTAGGAACTTCCCCTTCTAGCTGATAGGTGGTGGAATAACCTCCTCTATCCTTCCACATTGCAAATCACATAAACTGTAAATTATGAAGAAAAATGTTTTTCCTGAATTTGGGAAATATCTAGGCTTTTTTTCCTCTTAAATTCCATAAATGTTTGTTGTAAAGTTTGATAACTAGTTCTATAAACTCCTGTCCGGGCTGCCCCCTGACTTCTTTTTATTTCTGAGAGCATGATGAATTAGCTGTTAGATATGTTTTCTGTGGTCCTGCTCATCTTACCGCAGCCCCTTAGACTTCCTTTTCTGCCATTATCTGTGATTCTTTGTTTTCTGATCCAACTTACACATTAAACTATACATTAAACTATCAATATTCAGCTTTTACCAACTATCGAGTTGTGGTGGTATGATGTTACATGAATTTAACTCGGTTCATAAAAGCAGAGTACAGCTTCCAAAATCAGACCTGGTAGGTAGGTGTGCATCTCAGATTTCACCTGGGCAGAACTGCATGCAGAGTGAAAAAGAAAGTCATTGCTTCTCTAACACCTTTTACTTCTTACTTCTGAAGAGAGATGTCTGTGGGTTATGCAAATGTCAGGATGAGGCCAGGTTAGGAGCAGCTGTGTAGTTTAAACTCACAAAAAAGCAAACCAGAAAAACCAAGGCATCATTGTTGCCTGCCCTACATTTATCGAGATGATCAGATAACACAAATAAGCAATTCAAAAACTTTTAAAGTATTTTCACCACTTCCTGCTCCTGGATTGTTCACACCAGACGTGCATTGCTTTCTGAGAGAAAAATCACAAGACCTCGGTTCACGCTGTTTCATTTTCACAAGCATTAGCAGACTTCTGCCCTCTCTCATCTACCCCACACCACTTGGGACAAGATGATGCCGGTTTTCGCAGGGGATCTGGCGCCTGAGATGGAGAAAGTATGAATTTGAGAGATTTTTTTTTTTTTTTTTTTTTTTTTTTTTTGCTTGAGGCAGAATTCTCAGATTTCTTTACAAAACAAGATGGGATAGAAGTTATGCCTTTAAACTTCTAAGATTCGTAAAATGTGAACTCTGCCTCTATCACCTGAGATCATTTTGGAGGGAGGGGTTACTCTTAGCTTCCAACTTTTCTTTCAGATTTAAGTTTGATATCATGACGTTCCTTTAAGTTAAAATTCTGTAGTTAAACTGAGTCATTCTCAGGTTTACCTTATAGTAAATTACTCTGTTCCTTTACATCTTTACCCCATGAATCCTGACAAAACATCCTGTTTAATCCACTGATTGGAGTAGGGGGGTTTAGCTGATTGAGTTTGATAAAGAAATTTAGAGTGTAAACAAAGGCAGTGAAACTATTTTTAAAAATCCACTTTCACTGTTTCCAGGTCCTTTTTTTATTCTTTTGGCACAGTTGTAGGTTAATTTAAATCATATATACTTTGGTAATTAGTTTAAGAATAGTAAGTACGTTTTGTGGAAAATGTTATTACCTGAAGTTATTGTTAGAGACACTTGAATTTCTAAATGCACTGAGAAATAATTATGTTTTAGATATTTTAGATTGTTGTCCAATTCTTCCTGAATTTTAGGTTCTTGGACTCTATCAGGACATTTTCAATGAGCCGTTGATCATGATATGGTGTCTGAATTTTTCCTAAATGCTTGATAATGTAGCAAAGCCATAGATGGACTTAAAAGAAAGTCAATTTTAATGCAATAAATCTATTGCTTACCAAATTGTTTTATTTAAAGAAAAGTGACAGAAATGAAATTTTAGGTATGAATGGGCTCAGAAAAAATTAAAGTCACTCAGCATTCGTATAAAATTTACTTAAGTTGTACTGTGAAAAACTATGAATGCTAGAAAAATTAAATATTTAAAATTGCAAAGTATAATTGTTTATGTATTCTAAGGAAGTAGAGATGTGAAAATTGTATCTTTACATATTTTTAGCAATATAAAATTGACAAAAAATAAAAGCATGTTAAAAACATGAAAAATTCATAACATTAAAGAAAATAAAATATAAAATTATACTGTAAATATGGAATTACATGTCTTCTAATTATTATTTCAATCAAGCATTTTTTAAAGGTTGAAGCAAGTAGACCAAGGCCACATTTCAATAATTGCTTCTGATAATAAAATTATATATATATGTATATATATATTTTTTTTTCCTTTTTCTTTTTTTTTTGGAGACAGAGTCTCACTGGGTATTTCAGGCTGGCCTTGAGCTCACTTTGTAGCCCAGGCTGGTTTCAAACTTGCAGTGATCCTCCTACCTCAGCCTCCTGAGTACTGTGATTACAGGTGTGCACCACCGTACCTAGCTCTTTTTCTAACTTTTTTTCTAACTCTTTATATTTTTTTATGCTTGGAAACTTCTCTGTAATAATGAGGTGTTACTCTTAAAATCGCAAAAGCTTCTAGCAATTTGAAAATTTTTAACAGAAAATAGGGGGTAAAGATAAAATGTCTTTTCCTTGTTGGGTGTTCATATGTGCAGTGTATGTGGCCAGATGTTCATCTTATATGTAGAAAAAATAACTTGCAATCCTTGAACAATCAGAGGGGTTTATGCCTCACCGCAAACCTTCTCGTAACTTCTCTCACCCGTTCTGTTTCCACGTTGTGCAGGAGCAGTACCGTTTCTGCTATGACGTCGCATTGGAGTACCTGGAATCGTCGTAGTGGGTGAGACTGCACACTGCATTCACTCAGCACCCACTTCGTCTGTTGAGCCAGCAGCAGTTGTTCCTGTGCAGAAAGCTTTTAACGCGGGGGGTGGGAAGCTTTTACATTTGAGAGGTGAAAGTATTTTTCTTATGCAATTGTGTATCTTAATAAAAAGGACTTGATTTGTTTCTCTGTATGAAAGTACCAACGTTTAGTGCCACATAAAAATTATATTTCAGAAGATCCAGATTCCAGCGGGAACTTGCAGTGTTTGTTAAGTGAATCCACAGCCTCTTTTTCTCCTGGTTTCATAGAGTGGCCAGCGCACCTTGCATGGACTCATGCTTTCTGGGTGGCAGTTTTCTCCCTTTTAAAATGAAAGCTGTTGAATCTTGAAAGGAAGAAGAAAAGAAAAGCTGTGCAAATTCATGGTCAATTTCATTTTTTATATGTTCCGAGTGTAGCAGATCTCTATATAAATATATAAATATATATAACTGGCTTATTTTCGTTTAATGTGCAGTGATGGCTGGATCATTTAAAGTTCTTTTTTAGACAATAACATAAGCCAAAGACTCAAGTGTAAATATGTCTATATGGAAAAAGCACATTATATTTATTGGTTACTTACATTCCTTTTTGATGGCTAAAATACTATACCACACAGTCATTTTTGTTTCGAAGAAAGCTTTTTCTTTAGCTAAAATCAATTGTAAATGATTTTTGTAGATTATTTTTTGTATGTTTTAGTGTAAGTAGAGGATAAACTTTTTATTCATAAACCAGGAAGCAACATACTTTATAGTGATTCTCTCGTGTACATGCTTACAAATTTTAAAAAAGTATATATATATATATATATATATATATATATATATATATATATATAAAACACCTTGGCAATTGTCTTTTAATAGGGGACCAAATTAAAGCATTTTCCTGAGCAGTATATAAGTTTTCACAATTTCACTAGGTAAATAATGGTTGGGTGATCACACGTGAGAAATGCACACTCTCAAAGATCTTGCTGGTGGCTTGCACAGTGATGAGCATAGCCTTTAACTTCGTCCAAAGTTTCAAGGAATCGATCTTTCCAGCCTGTGGGCAAGCACTGGCAGAGGAAATAAGAGGGCAACGGTGATGCTCTCGGGGTCAAATTTTAGCAAAGTGTAAACTGCCAAGGCGATCAGATGTTTCTTTTGATGTTTACATGCACAAGCTTTGGGTTCTGAACATAGATGGTCTGGAGAAATCAATGCCGGATTCCTTTTTTGTGCATTGTCCTGGGACGCTCAGGCAACCTTTCTAAATGTGATCTCGTTCCACGCACTCCCCGTAGCTGTCACGTCTCATTTGCAGCTTGCAGTTTTGTTCCTGTGTCCTCTTTCTAGATTGCCGGTTCATGACATGGTGCGTCTAAAGATTTAATTACTGTAAGAGTGAAATAAAATTTTTATAATTACAACAGGCTCTTGTTTTCCTGTCATTTTCTCCTCTGAAATTTTTAATGCTTTCATTCTCAACTAAATAGCCTATGCCACACTCACTGCTCCACATATAAGCCACAAAAATCGATTAAAAGCGAAACTGATATCCAAGATTTGGTTTGCTTTAGTTTTACACATTGAATACTCAGAGTCCGGGCTAAGAGTTGATTTTATAAAATTTCTATATTTTGATGTAGCTTACTGTATTTCCTTCTTTTTTATAACAAAGTTGATAAATACAATGTAGTAATTGCATTCTTTATTTTATAAGAAAATTAATGAAAAAGTAAATGATTTGTCATTAGAGTCAAATCTCAGTCTACTTAGCAGCTCTCCTCTATCCACTGAACACTACACTCTGCCTCTCCAGAGTTGCAAAAATTCTTTTATTAGTATTATTCCCCATGAATTGATTTTCTCATAAAATATCATTCCGGTAATCCTCAAGCTCCCATTTGCTACGTGCATTACTGAAACACCAGCAGTTTCCATCAGTAAGACTTCATCTATGGTGTCTTTTTTCTTAGGAAGATTGTCTTTCATTTTTCTTCAGAGTCATGTAGCAAATGCTTTCTGTAGCTATAAGAGAATATCTCAATTTGGATAACTTATTTAGAAACATTTATTTTGGCTACAGTTTTGGTAGGCAGATTTGAGCCCAGCTTGGCACCAACATGATCTTCTGCGTGGGTACCCGGCTGCTTCAATTCACAATGGAAAGCAGAAGGCAAGCAGCTCCAGTGGAAGAAAGCAAAGGATCTAAATCAAAAGTGTTAACCCATTCCCAAAAGAAGGACATTGCTTTGTTCAAGAGCACCACACCCATGACCCAAAAAAACCCCAGCCCCACCTCCCAGCCGGCCTCCTTGGGGACAGAGGAGTATAGTAATACACTACTTAAGTTCACGCTGTTTCTGCCCACAGACAGTCTGGTTCACAACAAACAGAAACACTAAGCAAAACTTTGCTTACATTCTTGAACACCAGGTGATGAACACGACTACAGCCAGCTGCCCCGGAATCATGGAGGGAATTACATTTGTGACCTGAGGTGCCTCTGTATGAAAGCACAGCACAGCCACTTAACCAATCAGCAGACTCACCGAAGATTCTTTCCTTAGTCGTGTCCATGATGTCACTACTACAGAGAAGTCTGTTTGGCCGCGTGACCTTGATTTCATTTCTACTCACACGTTATACATACACCACCAAAATTCCCATGGATCCTGTTGCCCCAGAGCTCAGCAGTCCATGCGGCCTCAAAGAACGAAAGGAATCCTTATTCTCTAAAGCAGAAAATAAAACTGGCTTGCTTTGGGTGCTATGGAGTCTCACTCCTTAGGAGACAATTAGAAGAGTTTTACTGATGTTCACGTTCCAAATCTCACAATTTTCAATACCTTTGAGGAGCTCTGTGAGTGGAGCTGTGTATAGCCTTTCCTACCTAGTCATGGCTCTCAAGGAGGACACCTTGGCAAAGCCCCTGCAAGTTGACAAGTTCGGCACTTCCTACCCCTATGTCAGTTGTTCCTTAAGTGGCCGTCATGACTCTGAACGTGAAAGACACTATTGCTGCATATTCCTGGGAAAATCTTGGAACTGTGTGAATGTATGAGTTTTAAACAGGTAGTTCTGAAATGCGTTAGTTAGCCCTCTTCTCTGGACTTCATACCTAATCTACTTTTTGGACAAAGGAAAGATCTTTGGGTAAAAGTTTTACTGTGTTGCAGCTGAATGACCTCTGATATTGAGAGAAACAGGAGAATATTTACCCTGGGCATGGTGAAGACAAATTTTCCTCTATAATATTCAATGTACATTGCAGTGAAAATGTCTTGGGTTCCACTCATGTACGTAAAAGGTTGGAAACCAGACACCGACAGCTGTTCCTTCTCAAAACTGCTATGTTCTAAAAAATGATATAAAAAGGAGGGGCCTAGCATTTGAAAGCTTACTAGGTATAAATAAATATCTCAGTATAGGAAAATAAATGCTATAACTCACCTGGAAATAAGAGTCTTTTGGCTTACAAAGATCACCTTGGAATATAACAGCCTACTGTTTATATGGGAATGACAATCGTACATTTATATTTAGTTTCTCAGAACTTTGGCAAGCATGTTTTTCATTATAAAGTAGTCAGATACCATATTACGCCACATATGCCAGTATGATATATGCATTTGCCCTATATCACCATAGGCAGGAATTTCACAGTTCTTCTAGTTCACTTCTCTGCTTAGTAAACACTCTTACTTAACGATCATCAATATGCTATTTTATTCAATACTATACTTAGTGAAGGTAAAGGATAGCTAAACAGATTTTTGCTTGACTCTTGATTTGTTCCCAATATGCTCTACTCAAGCAGTCTGTAAACTATTAGAATATCATCTGTTTGAAACTAAAACAGAAACCTGTGTCTTGGGACCTACTTTAAGTAAGCTATGAGCTTCTGGAATATAAACTGTCCAAAATATCGATGGAAATATGATAGATACATACCACTTCCCAACTCTCAGCTTCCCCTAAAGCGAATTGAAATGCTAACCTGAAAGTTAATAAGCACTGGACATTGTTGTTGTCACATCCTAAAAGAAATTGATGGATGGTTTTCTAAACCACTGAAACATATGCTTGCTATGAAGTATCTGAAAACTTTTTAATTTAAAAATCTGTTCAGGGAGCTAGAGCAGAAGACATTTTATGACAGATAACACCTCTCCTTATGTATTTTCCAATTGTAGAAAATGATCTACAATACCCAAATCTAACAGAAAAGGAACTGCTAATGTATACTGATGTTATATTAGTCTCAATATTTGATGAATCGTTTAACTTTCATTAATCCTGGTGCAGTTTGGAGTCTTGTAACATTTAGGCTAAAAAACAAACCAAAATTCGAAATGTTGGTGCAGGCTCTGCATTGCACTCAGGCATGGGAACAAGAGAACCTAAATGAGTCACCGATAAATTCTTCACTAGAAATTAGAATGTACAGCAAGTGAAAGTCATGCACTTACTGTGTGCTATATTCCCTTGGAGGCAAAATCAAACTGGAAACACAGAGAGTGTTCTTGGCATGCCATCCAAATATTATTTGTTGGAAAGGAAGGACTGTCAAATTCGTGGGTGTGAGCAGGGGATTCAGCTGATGTACGTTTAAGGCTGACTACCCACATCACAATGTTATGACAAATATTTCCCTTTCATATTTTCTATAATTAATATTTTTTTCTGTATCAAAATAACACTCTTCCATGTTTAGTAAAACATGCCCTCGTTGATCCACCTTACATTTTTCCCTATGGATGAAAAATGGATAGTAGGCATCCCACCATCTTCAGCTCCGCCCCAAGAAGCCAAGAGGTGTGAGTGATGATAATGGCAACTGCCGTGTGACATAGAGCAGAGGGGATGACATGAGGGACTGGCTCTCATCTGCACACATGCGGTGTCCAAAACCTGACTCCTGCCCAGACAGTGCTTCCTGTAGGGGAATAGGAGCTCCTGTCTTAAGATAATGTGGGTATCAAAAATTTTAGACACTTTGAAATTTTGAATATTGGAGATCAATTTCATTTTAAAAGCATAAGCAACACAAAACCTTGTCCATTCTCTCCAGAACAAAGAAATCTCATCCAGATGTCACATCTAACATTTTTTTTTTTTTTTTTTTTGTACATCGTGGGTAGTCTCCTCTCTGTTGGTGGTTTCTCTTGCTATGCAAAAGCCTTTTAATAAGATGAAATCCCAGTAGCTGATTCTTTGTGGTAGTTTCAGAGCAATCAGGGTTTTATTCACAAAGTCTTTGTCTATATCAGTGTTTTCAAGAGCTTTGCCTCTTCTTTCTTCCAACAGATTTAATGTTTCTGGTTTAATATTTAAATGTTTGATCCATTTTGAATTTAGATTAGTGCATGGGGAGAGATATGGGTCCAGTTTTAATCCTTGCTATGTGCATAGCCAGTTTTTCCAGCACCATTTGTAAAAGAAGCTATCTTTCTTCCAGTGAATATATTTACTAAGTCATTTTTGTCAAACATAATGTGACTTAGTAAGTCTGGAGTTGTTTCTGCATCTTCTAATCTGTTCCATTAATCTTTAGGTCTGGTTTTCGTTTGTTTTATTTTGTTTGCCACTACCATACTGTTTTTATCATAGTGACTTTATAGTATAATTTCAAATCAGAGATTGCAATGCCCTCTGTCTTTTTTTTGTTGCCCAGAACTGCCTTTCAGTGTGTAGACTTCTTCTGGTTCCAGATGAATTTTAGGTTTGTTTTCTCTAATTCTGTAAAAAATGCTGTTAGAATTTTGATCTGAATTACCTTAAATTTGTATAACAATTTTGGGAGTATGGCCATTTTCACTAAATTCATTCTTCCTACCCAAGAGAAAGGGATGCCTTTCCATTTTCTGATATCCTCTTCCATACCCTTTTTCAGAGTACTATAGGTTTCAATGCAGCGGTCCTTTATATCTTCCATTAGATTGGTTCCTAGGTATTCATGTTTTTGGATGCTATTATGAAACGAGTTGTTTCCTTAACTTCTCTCCCAGTGAATTTGTTACTCAACAGATGCATTCTTGAAAGACGCCTTACTTATTTTCTCATTGGTGAGAGGCCATGCCCATCACACAAATCTAAGCAAAAATGTTTATTGTAGCTCACAGTTTGCAAAAGTTTCAGTCCGTACACAGTCAGCTGGCTTGAAGGTAGGGTGGCGGGCAGAAGGGAATTGAAGAGGAGAAACAGTTCACGGTAGGGCACTTGGAAGCAGAGAGAGGGGGAGCAAAGGAGGAAGATGGAGGAACAGACCACACCACATCCACAGGGACCTCCCGACATCGTGTTTAGCTGTTAGCGCATCAGTGGACTAATCCAGTGTTGAGGATCATGCCCAGTGGTCCTCCCACCCTGACACTCCCACCCATGAGCGGATAGGGATTTCAGGGCAAATCTAGATATAAAGTGG